AAAAAACTTGAAAAGGAACATAAATCATGAAATCTAATCGAGTTCGAACCGGACTTTCATTTCCTAAACCATGTAAAAAGCTTCCCAAAGATGTCAACTAATGCCTGATAAAGTTTTGTAATGTGTCTTAAAGTTTAACACAATGTATGTTTGGGCCTATGTTTGACTTTTTTTGCATGTTTTCCGCCACACATTGTTGTCTACATTGCGTTAAACTTTAAGACCCATTGCAAAACTTTATCAGGCATTAGTCGACATCTTTGGGAAGCTTTTTACATAGTTTAGGAAATGAAAGTCCGGTTCTTTGCTTTACACTTACCTAGATTGTTCCAATCACTTTGGCATATTTCTTTTCTGAAAATTTGGACAATTTCCAAGAAAAAAGTTGCTGGGCACTTTTACTTTTGAATCATTCTACTTTAATCCAGGAATTATTTGAATATTTGTGATTTTTCATGAATTTCAAAAAAACCCTAAAATGGCCAACTTCGGGCCTCTGAAAAAGAGTGATAGATGGTCCCGAAAATTCTAATAAAATTTGGGGACATTTCTGACATCGGGAACAGCAAGTTTTTCATATTTGCAGAAAAAAAATTTTTTTGGCCATTCGATTTCACAGAGAATTGGCCATATCTATAAAAAAAAAGGAAGGTTGCATAGCAACCGCTGTCGGGTTGCTCAGAGTAATAATTAATAAATTCATTCTCCAGGTTACCGTGCAAAGAAGAGGAGCTACGCTCATCGCTCTCTCTTTCTTTGTAATAATTTCATTGATTACCGTAAATCATAAATTTGATTTTAAAAGGTGCTCTCAATTGAGGAAAGTTGTACTTTGTGCAAAAAATAAACGTGAGTTTTTTTATAAGATTTTTGTCAACAAAAAATAAATTGTGTAGCTCATTGAAACATTTCGGGATCTGTCAACCGATTGACGGTCTCGACGCAACAGAGCCAACGAACGATAAATTTATACGTGTGACTTAACTTCGTAGAGCAGACGAATTTTTGACACTTTGATACCCGCCAACGGCATGAGACCCCTGCGTGCGTATCCCCACTCCGCCACTTAGCCGCTGCCGGCTCGCGCGCCGACCGCAGTTCCACTCCTGGACTTTCCGGAGTCGGAACTTGCTCGCCCACGAGAGCTTGGCCTAGGGAACGTTAGTAAACCTGAGTTGTACTAAAATACTCAATCTTATTATTTCTCGCTCCTCTCCAAGCCTCCTTCCCACTCCTGCACTGAGAAGCTTCACTGGCGACCGTTAGGTGGCGCAGCGCCGGTACCCACAAGTTACTTATCCCCGCAAGGGCTTAAGAACCGGCCACTTCGAGCCTCGGTCTTTCGAATTCGGTCACTCAGCGGGTGCAGCCTGGACCTTCCGGCCGCAACTGACCAGCAAGGCCAAGTGAGATTCATCGCAGAGTTATTGCCTCCAAGACTACAAGGCCGACGGGATTTCCAATCTTCCGTTGCAGAGTTGACTCCAGAACAGCATCGGATCTCGGTGACCACTCGATCCACATCACTCGCCAACTAAATAATAAAAATACTCACTATTTGATTGTTAACTAATGGTAATTTCTGGATTTGAAATGTTTCTGGTTCTGTTCTTTTGAAATTTCGTGTAACTTGGTTGATGCGTCTCACACACAATACCGTCGAATATTAACGTCAACAATTTAACGACACAAGGTAATAAAGATACATGTACACCTATATATGTGGTAGACGTTACACTGTTCAATTTTCTCTCGGCCCGACAATCACTTTTGTATAAACGTTCGGTTAACGACTAATAATTAATCAATAATTCTCTGCACGACAAGCACTTTTGTATAAACGTTCGGTTAACGACTAACGTAGAAAATCCGCACTGGAGAGAACGTGTTCGACCGATGTTAAAAAAAACAAAAGCACGCACATCGCATAGTAGTGTATGCTGCTGCCCGATGTCGCTACTCGCTTACCGACGGTTATCTGAGTCAGTACGCGGTCTCTATAGGCATGATTGCGAATTAACCATTCTGCTCAGGACCACTTCTACTTCATAGTTCAAGCCTAGCATGTATCAAAATTTTTGAAGTATCGATATACCGATACAATAAAACATATAGTATCGATACAAAATTATCGATACTTTGTTCAAATATATCGATATCCACCGTATCGATATCGTATCGGAACATCCCTATCCTATAGGACTCCTGTAGGAATTTCGCGAGATCCTATAGGAAATTTTTATAAGGGTATGCTCGTATCAGTGAAATGTTCACGTTTCTGTTACAGAGAATGTTAAAGATTAAACCCGAGTCAACAGAAAAGCCGCTAATGTCAGAACTCAAGGCAGCCCTCGGCGATGATCCAACCGAAACGAAGGCATTAAAGGCCGCTATTCATTCGGACCTGATCAAGAATCTTAGATTCTACACACGTAAAGGCTTACCCGAGAAGGAAAAGGACGAATCGACATCCAAGTACAGTGAGCCTGAGGCTTATAGTACGCCACTGTTGAATCCACAAATAAAAAACAAGATGAATGATAAAGTCATTAAGAAAGACAATTATAGAGCAGAAGCACAAGAGTTATCAGCAGCGGCATTGACTGCTTTAAGCGCTGCCATAACAATGGTGAACGAGGGCACAGAAGATGGAGTTGACCAAGGAATATTTTTTGTAAGGCTTATGGATTCAGCAAAGTTACTCGCACAAGTCCAGTTTAAACAGTCCCAGTCAAGGCGTGTCTGCATTTATATCCCAATTATGGATTCCAAAACCATCAGAGAAGTGCTAAGAAAATCCGAAGTTGATAAATATTTATTTGGCTGATCAGAATTGGATAAGAAGGTTAAGTCCCTTAAGGAAACAACAGCACTGTTTGATGAGAAGAAGGAAACTTCAAAACCCAGCAGTAAGAACCAGGGAAACTACAAGCGCCCGTTCGAGCAACGGACCCACTCGAACAGCCAGGGCAATACATATGGGTCAAAATAATACTTTTTTACAAAACCGTGCGCACGTATATCACCGATCTTGACGCGCTTTTGGTATGTTATAGTACATGGTAAAAAGGTCCCAAAAAAAAATTTTTAGACCCCCTCCCCCCTCCTACCCCCCACTTCCGGTATAAACGTCCATTTTCGATCTATATTTTTTCTGAGGACATGAAGCAAGTAAAAAATCTGAAAAAATTCATAAAAATACTTTTCCACAATCCAAACAACCTTGAATTTTTTCAGATTTTTTGAGTGCTTCAGGCCTTCAGATAAAATCATTGAAAATTTCAAAAATCGAGATACGGCGGTATGAGCCGATGTAGTACTCGGAAATTTTTTCAGTTATTTTTCGCATTAAAAAACATAACCTCAATTTTTTTCAGATTTTTTCAGATTACCTAACGCACCTTTTGAAGCCAAAAACCGATTTTTTTGACGAAAATAATTTTTTTAGGACAGTACGGAGCCTCGAAAAATCTGAAAAAAATTTTTTCTTGTTTTTTTCATCAAAATACGTAATCTCAAATTTTTTCAGATTTTTTAATTGAAGGCGATAGCTTCTAGGGCCGAAAAATGCTATTTTTAACAAAAAATGGTTCCTAGAACCCGATGGTTCCGGTGAAAAAATTTGAAAATATTTTTTTTGAATTCCTTGTCAAATTTTAATAAATTTTGACCGTTTCAAAAGTTCGATTGAAGCTTCCTAGCTCATTTTAGAGCAGGACAAAGATTAGTGCAAAATATCTGAAGACGTTTCTGAAGACATTAAGGAATGATAAAACTCGTTTGATGCTCTAAAATGAGCTAGGAAGCTTCAATCGAACTTTTGAAACGGTCAAAATTTATTAAAATTTGACAAGGAATTCAAAAAAAATATTTTCAAATTTTTTCACCGGAACCATCGGGTTCTAGGAACCATTTTTTGTTAAAAATAGCATTTTTCGGCCCTAGAAGCTATCGCCTTCAATTAAAAAATCTGAAAAAATTTGAGATTACGTATTTTGATGAAAAAAACAAGAAAAAATTTTTTTCAGATTTTTCGAGGCTCCGTACTGTCCTAAAAAAATTATTTTCGTCAAAAAAATCGGTTTTTGGCTTCAAAAGGTGCGTTAGGTAATCTGAAAAAATCTGAAAAAAATTGAGGTTATGTTTTTTAATGCGAAAAATAACTGAAAAAATTTCCGAGTACTACATCGGCTCATACCGCCGTATCTCGATTTTTGAAATTTTCAATAATTTTTTCTGAAGGCCTGAAGCACTCAAAAAATCTGAAAAAATTCAAGGTTGTTTGGATTGTGGAAAAGTATTTTTATGAATTTTTTCAGATTTTTTACTTGCTTCATGTCCTCAGAAAAAATATAGATCGAAAATGGACGTTTATACCGGAAGTGGGGGGTAGGAGGGGGGAGGGGGTCTAAAAATTGTTTTTTGGGACCTTTTTACCATGTACTATAACATACCAAAAGCGCGTCAAGATCGGTGATATACGTGCGCACGGTTTTGTAAAAAAGTATTATTTTGACCCATATACAAACGAACGGGGCCGACCAAGGCTATACTTCAAAAAATAAAACTCCCCGTTCAAGTCTCGAGGATACCACAATCAGGGCCGAGGAAGGACACCCAGAGGGTAGCAGCTTTAAATAAAGACGTAGGTAATCAAAGTCGGTGGTAGATTAGAAAAAGTTCATAGTCAGTGGTGTAAAATAACTAATAATAAGTTTATCTTGGACTGTATAAAAGGATATAAAATCCCTTTCAAAATAAAACCCAAGCAAAAATATTTTGAAGATAGAACACCAAAAAATGAAAATGAAAAACAAAAAATAAAAAACGCGATTCAAGATTTAATTCAAAAGGGTGCAGTGGTGGAATCCGAAAAAGAAAAAAAGCAGTTTCTGTCAAGTTTTTTCACTGTCCCAAAACCTGATGGCTCTTCCAGGTTTAAATTAAATCTTAAAAAGCTAAATAAACTTATTAAGACTAAATATTTTAAACTGGAAGACATGAAGACAGCAGTCAAGTTAATAGGGCCTGGTGCTTACATGTTCTCGATAGACATGACAGATGCGTATCTGACAGTGCCAGTTCGAAGAGCAGATCAAAGATATTTAAAATTTTATTTCAACAAGAAGTTATATAAGTTTGTCTGCTTGCCCTTTGGCCTGTCAACAAGTCCTTATGTTTTTACAAAAATATTAAAACCAGTCGTGCAGAAACTTAGAACTGCAGGAAATTTGTCAGTGATATACTTAGACGATATCTTATGTATTGGAGATACATACGAAGAGTGTGCAGAGAATGCCCGGGACACAAAGGAATTACTTAAAAGTCTAGGTTTCCTGATAAATAATAAAAAGACAGATAAAAGGCCTAACACTATATGTAAATATCTTGGAGTGATAATAAATTCTAATAGTGGAACTTTAGAGCTGTCTAATAATAAAAAAGAAAATATTCTTTCTATACTGCATCAGAATCTTTCTCTACAAAGAACAGACATCCTATCATTCGCCAAAATGGTTGGAAAATTAGTGGCTGCTTGTATAGCAGTACAGTATGGATGGCTCTACATTAAAATTTTTGAAAGGAAGAAAATACAGGCGCTCAAACGTTCAAATGGCTCGTATAAGGGCAATATAACAATGTGTGAAGAAATCAAATCTGATATGCAGTGGTGGATTGACAATCTGGAATCAGCTAAAAAAGAGTTTAAGTTTAAAGAAATATCTAAGGTAATATACACAGATGCATCAGGTTCAGGCTGGGGAGCTACTAATGGTGAAGAAAAGATATTTGGTGTATGGAACACGTCACAAGCAGCTGAACATATCAATTATAAGGAACTATTAGCAGTTCATTATGCCATAAAAAAATTTACAGAAAATTTATGTAATGCACGCATACTACTAAGAATCGATAACTCGACAGCGATCTCCTACATCAACAGGATGGGTGGTGTAAAATATAGGAAGTTCAATGACTTGGCAAGACTTATATGGACGCATGCTGAGCAGCGTGGCAATTGGTTTACTGCATCATATATACCTTCAAAACAAAACACAGAAGCGGATATGCTATCCAGAATAACTAATGTGGATGCAGAATGGGAAATTTCTAGCAGAGCATATTCGAATATTACTAAAAAGTTTGGAACACCAGATATTGATTTATTTGCCACTTTTTCTAATAAAAAATGTGCAAAATATGTTTCACGTTTCCCAGATAACGGAGCTTTTCAAGTTAATGCGTTTTAAATTGCCTGGACGGACTTTTTCTTTTATGCTTTTCCACCATTTGCCCTGATTTCAAGTACTTTAGAAAAAATTCGTATGGAAAAAGCCCGTGGAATTGTTTTTGTACCGCTTTGGAAAAACCAACCATGGTTTCCACTGCTGAGTAGAATGATTTGTAGTGAGAAACTTATTTTTTCACCAAATAAAAATTTACTGTTGTCTATGTGCAGGACCCAGCATCATCCAAGATACGAGACAATGTACATGATGGCAGCAGTGGTATCAGGAGAGCTTTCAGCGATAGAGACTTACAGCAGGACTCTCTTGACATCGTTCTAGCATCTTTGAGCAAGAGCACAATAAAACATTATAAATCATCTCTGCAGAAATGGATATCATATTGTGACACAAATAATATAGATCCATACAACCCAGCAGCAGTCAACGTAATATCATTTTTGACAAAAAGATTCAAAGAGGGTCTCTCTTACAGCTCAATAAACTCTGACAGGAGTGCCATATCGCTAATATCAACTAATGAAGTGGGTAATGATAAATTAGTCAAGCATGCTTCAAGAGTAGGCCCCCAGTACCTAAATACAATCACACCTGGGATGTGGAAACTGTGTTTAAGTACTTTGAACAATTAGAGGATGATAAGGATCTATCCATAGAACAATTAGCTCATAAGACTGTCATTTTAATAGCTTCAGCGACTGCACAAAGAATGCAGACCATTTCAAAGATCAGGATAGAAAATACGCATATCTATGAAGACAACATAATAATAGTTATTTTAGATGTAATCAAGACATCAAGGCCAGGGGTAAGTCAGCCGCGACTAATCTTACCAAAGTTTGAGACAAGACCAAAGCTCTGTGTATATAGTTGTTTAAAAGAATATATAAATAGAACTGAGAGCATAAGAAATGAGGAGAAATATCTATTTATATCCTTGAAGAAGCCTACAGTATCAGTAGGTCCTCAGACGCTGGCTAGATGGGTGAAATGCACACTGGCCAAGGCAGGTATAAACACTAATATTTTCACCGCACACTCAACCAGACATGTGTCGACTTCAGCGGCGCTCGATAAAGGAGTCAGCATAGAAATAATCAAGGATACTTGGGATCTAAGAGATCTCAAGTTTTTGCAAGATATTATAAGAGACCTATAGTTAATAATGGTGAAAATATATTTATGTTTAATATAATGGACAAGAGTAAGAGTACTTAATGCTTGATGCGTAATACATAATAAATGTTTCAACATTTAACTTTATTTGACTTCATTTTATTTTGTACACTAATAAAAAATTTTTGTAACTTACTCTAAATATCTACAAGTATAGTATAATCTCGAAAGAGCGAAGCGTGAAGTATAATTAAGGATCGTACTAACTTACCTGTAAGTGATGTGCGATCCAAATTACACGAAAGCTTCGCTCGAAGAGATTATACTCCCACCCTTGTAACAGTTAAATCCCGAACCCAATGAAAGTTAAACAATTTTTTCTGTCACACTTAATACTCTAAAAAGTATGAGCATTCGGTGGACCGGCGCGAGGCGCGCCACCCCTACGGAGTTTCTTTTTCTCTCAAAAGAAAGCGTTGTGACTCTGGCGAGCAGCTTGAGAAGCTGCAAGTATAGTATAATCTCTTCGAGCGAAGCTTTCGTGTAATTTGGATCGTACATCACTTACAGGTAAGTTCGTACGATCCTTAATTACTTTTCTTGGTCTTTTAGTAATTGAAGCGCTTTTTACACACGATGTAAGAAACTTTTGACTATGAACGAAAAACTTTATTCGACCGATTTATTCAAACTCAACGTTGGTCATGTGTAAGATCCACGTATTTCGTATATTATCAGACAATAATAAATCAATGTAAATATTTTTTCTTGGTATATTTATTTACACATTTAATATACAGCAGTCCCTCCGTATTCGCGGATTCCGTATACCCGAATTCTATATTCGCGGAATTTTCTGTTCATACCTTCACTCCGTATCCGCAGAAACAAAATTCGATATTCGCGGTGTTTACCTGATGTCAAACACAACTTTTTGGTTAACTTTTGTATTTGTTGTTTACATTTTTTAAACAATGGCTCCCAAAATCCCAAAAAAAATCTCCTAGAAAAAGAATTAAAAAAGTTATGAATTTGGCTGAAAAACTCTAAGTCTTAAATTTACTAGAAGAAGGCAACCGGATTTTCAATTATTCGCGGTTTCAGTATTCGCGGTGTTTCTTAGGAACCTAACTACCGTGAATACGGAGGGCCTGCTGTAATAGAATGCTTACATCATCATTCTATCGTGTATTTGAGCCGCGGATAACGCGAGATACATACGCGGATGACAAGGGACGTCGCATTTCGGCCTATCGCGGATGCGGTGAATTGATTGATTGATTCATAGTTTATTATAGTTCATCTCGTAGAGGTTGTGAACTGATTCGAGATTATTACAGAGATTTTACATGGATATTACTATTGTAAATGAGTACACAGAGTGGTTAGAATTAGAATATATATTTATTATATAAGGAAGGTTAGGTTGAACAGTGTACACGTCTACATGCGTGCGTCTCAGGCAAGCGCAGAGAACCAAGTGGGTTCGGAGCAGCGCGCAAGGGAGGGGATGCTCATTTTAGAGCTGGGTCTGACGACGCTGACGCTCCGACGCGTTCCCCATACGGCACACACACACACACACATAGCGCGCTTGTAAGTATAACATACACAACAATTACTTAGGTAGATACAAATAACAAAAAAAGGTAAAAACAAGACAAAACCAGAACGTTATATTAAAGACCAATAGCGGAAGATCGAGATCGATGTGAGGTTCCGCGATTGAAAATTAGACTTAAATCTAAAATCTACAATCTAAAATGTAAAATCGCACGACAACGAACATTTATTTTATAATTGGAATTATTAGCGGCAGCTCGCGAGGTAGGCGCGTAATCGGTGGCGAAATTGTGGTAAGGACTCGGCGTTGCTCTCCGTGCGCAGCTGCTGAGCTCTCTCTCTCTCTCTCTCTCTCTCTCTCTCTTTCACGCGCACAAAGACGAGTCTCGCTCGTCGTCGAGGCGAAAAAGATAAGCGCGCAAAGAAGCGTCCGAGATTACGCGCTCATTATGAGATGCTCCGCGTGTAGCGCCTGCCACATGTTTTCCCATATTGCACCGCGCTGTCAGTGGCCACGCGGAGCAGAAACTAGATTTTTGGGAAGTTCAAGCTGCACCGATCACTCAAGATTTGATTAACAGATATACGAGACACATTTTTATGATTGATCCAAATCGTAGAGATAGATGTGATTTCCGTATGGTATTAGTTATTAAATCGATCAGATTTCTAATTGAATTCATTTGTTTTCCCTCGATTGATCACGTATAGGAATAGAAAGCGATAGAACTGGAAGTCACACATTTTCTGACACTTCAAACATCCCTTTATAAAGCCCCGAAGCGTTTTAGACGATAAGATTGTTGAAAACTAGTTCATCAAGAAAACTAGGCATCGTAGTGTCGTCGTCGAGCGCGTCGTATCCATGCATTTTTCGTGGCGCAAATCATAAATCTATGCAGGAAAGTATAAAAACTTTCAGCTTATTATACGTACTATTTAAATAAATAATAAGTTTATTGCTAACTAAGAATTACAAAACACTTACCAGTTGTCAAAGATTAGTAGTGTGAATTGTACATCGCGCGCGACAAGAGCGAGTTGCGGGAGCGCCGACTGGCAATGCGTACATCTGGCCATACCGTCAAACTCGCTGATTAAAAGTTTATAACAAACAGGTTTTCAACAATCTTATCGTCTAAAACGCTTTGGGGCTTTATAAAGGGATGTTTGAAGTGTCAGAAAACACTATGGCAACATCAAAATTTTACATTTTTCACAAATTTTTTTAATGTCAAATTTGGCCATTTTCGAGTTTTTTGCAACATAAAATGTTGAATAACTCGAAAACTGTTAACTTTAGAAAAAAATGTCAAGAAACCTTTTCTCTTTAAAATGGTCCAATTGACTTAAAAAATATATTGCCAGGTCAAAAAACATGAATTTTGACCATTTGTTTAAAAAAATTTGTTTAAACAATTTTGGGCACTTTTTTGGGCCTGGTAACATGCAAATTCAGATTCAGCGGGAAATTTTACATGGGAATATGACAAAAATTCGACTAAAAAAATTTTTTTGACCATTGCGAAGCTGGGGCCTGGACTATGATGATTACAAATCGAAGTTGATCGTGAACAACGATATCGTTATACACGAGTTATAACGTGTGCGTTACAAAGTAGATTTGAAATTTCCCGCGCTCATATAAGTTGGTTACATTGAGAAAGTCAACTGTGTCGAGTCGATAAAACAGCGCGGCAGTCATCGCGTGCAATGCGCATGCGGACGCTATGAAGCCTAGCCGCGACAGGCGTTCACATGAGTATGACTCATGTCATAAGACCGGAGACTAGTTCGATTGTAGACTAACATGTTCATGTGTACCACGTCTGCCGCAAAGTGCCGTCAGCCGTGCGTACATTAATAGTATATTGTCATTGTGTATATTACTTCTTAATTTATGTGTCAGTGCCTTGAACGGTAAAGAATTATCAGCTCGATATAATGTGCTGTGATTATGATTACTTACGAAAGTAAATGGAATGATGTACTCGTGACCATGAAGTGAAAATCCTCGTCTGCTCTGTTTGTGATTTTATAATTTAATATAAATAAAAATGAACCGATTCGAGTACACGAATGGCCAGTGCATGCCTAACGAAAAAACTCTACGTCGTGACAACAATATCAGGCTTTACGATGGAGAAGTCCGGGTTAGTTGAAAAAGTTTAAAATAACACCTAACCTATGCGAGTGTCTATTTGTCAACAAACTTTTCTTACTATTTCCTTTAAAAAAAACATCGAATGTTTAGTGAGATAGATTTTTTCTTTTTGCAGACGAATTTCGAAGGCGGTGAGTTGACGATAACCACTCATCGTCTTATCTATAGAACGTCGAATGTTTGTTTCTCGTTGTCGTTAAGTTTAATCATTTATTTCGAAGAAGAATATCCAGGCCCGTTGTTTTTCACTCGAAGTCCAAAAGTCAAGCTGCATTTGACGGAACCCCCACGTGGTATGAATTTCATAAAATTTATAAATAGATGAATGGAGTCTCCTATGATTCTCACTATATCATTCTGAAAATTTTCAGATAAACAGCCTGGACCTATTGACAATAGTCCTCACAGTTACATTAAATTATCGTTCAAAAATGGGCTGAGCCCAGCTTTTGTGGAAAATTTAAGCGAAGTTATACATAATAGACTATGGGAAATAATTCCTTTAAGTATAGGAGTTTCTCCTTCTAGTGTGCAGGTGATGATTTATATTACTGAGCATTTTATTTTAGTAAAAATTCAGTTTCATAATCATAGAAATTATTAAAAACAGGGTTCAAATTCTAATATGCCTCGGAATCCTCCACCCATAAAACCCAGGACAGGAATAATAGGTATAGAACGGAATCTAAAAGAACAGCAACGTGCAACTGATGAAAGTATAAATGTTGCCTTTCAAGACTTGAGAAAACTCATGGGAATGGCTAAAGATATGGTCAATATATCGAGAACGATATCTGCAAAAATAAGGGTGATTTTTTTAAACAAAATAATTCATAAATCTTTTGGATTTTAAGACTCATATCGCACAGGCTCATAATGCAGAAAATTACAGGAACGACAAGGTGACATCACTGAAGATGAAACTGTAAGATTTAAATCGTATTTAATGAGCCTGGGAATTGACGATCCAGTGACAAGAGATGCATACAAAAGCAGCAATGAATATTTCAAACAATTAGGCAGGCAGCTTGCTGAAATTCTTGAAGAGCCGATAAAAGTAGGTAGTTTAACAACATTTCTAATAGCATACTTCCAGTAAATAATAAACTATATGACTTACTTTTATTGAGCACTGTCACTTATTTCTTTTGATACGGACATTTAGTGTAATGCAGCCAGTTAGTTACTTACTTATTAAAACAATCATTTTTTAGGAGGTGGGAGGCATGATGGCTTTAACTGACGTGTATTGCAGAGTTAACAGAGCTAGAGGGCTGGAACTATTATCTCCAGAAGATTTGCTTCATGCATGTAAACAACTATCAGATTTAAATCTACCAATTATGTTAAGAACTTTTGATAGTGGAGTTATGGTTATACAGTCTGTATCTCATAATGATGTTGAGGTTGCTGATGCTGTCTCACAACTGGTGAGTTCAAAAAATTTATCTTTTAATTTTTGTTTATAAATAATTGATTTATTTATTTCCTCATTATTAGATTAAAGACAGAGGTTCAATTACTGCCACTGAACTGGCTCAATCTGAAGGAATTTCAGTGGTTCTGGCCTGTGAACGTTTATTTATGACTGAAAAATATGGTAAAGCATGTAGAGATGACTCAATTGAAGCACTCAGATTCTATCCTAATTTATTTTTGGAAGAAGAGTGAACTTAAAAATGAAAATAAAATATAAATAAAACTCACGGAACTCGTTCTCTCATGAACTGATTGTTTTATAAAAATTGAGTATTTAATATTTACTAAAAAATAGTGAGAACGTCGTTAATATTGAATATGTTTGAATGTGTTTTTTATTCAAAGCCTCTATATAATGTAAATAGTGAAAATCGTTATATGTAATATAACAAGGTGTAAAATATACATTATGTTGTAATAAAAGCAAATTTGTTTTATTTCGTGAAAAAAAAAACAACGACAAGCACGTGTTCCGAAAATTTTAAACTTTCCGGAAATTTCAAATATTTGTATGTAAAAAAAAATTAATCATCACATCTTTGTGGCACAGCGCGCGAAAATTAATTTTAATACGTTACTTGCATAAACATACGTTTCAAAAAAGATTGTACTTACCACACACCACGTGGTCAAGAAGATCATTTTATCTTCTCGACAGGCTCATCATAATGAAAATTGCTTGATAAAGATAAAATAGTGTAACCATACCTTTCACCTAGTCACGGCCCACTGGATAAACTCTGACCGTCGCAAAACGCATGTAGCGTTTTTTCTTTATCCACCTCCCACTCTCTCATTGGTCTAAGCCCCCCCCCCCACTCCCACCTCGTCCCGAGCTGCAGCGACCTCCTCCATACAAATAGCCTCCGTTTGACGTAGGCTCGCTCAGTTTACACGTAGTCGTGCAGAAGCACAGAACGAAACGAACGAACGCGAGGAGAGGAAGCGAGGCGAGACGACGAGACGAGAGATATTGTGTCGAGAAAATAAGATCGAACGAAGGAAAAAGTTGTTAATCGATCACATTTGTATATGTGAGAAGTGCAGTACGTGCGGTGTGTTCATATCATATTGAAGACACACGTGTGAAACTGAGATTTGGTTCTAATATCCGGCTGGTTTGATAGCATATCTCGTTGTCGAGTTGTAATCGGAAAGAAGGGAACGTTTCATCGTTGTGCTCTGCATTCATACACGAGATATCGTCGTATGAACAGAAAAAAAAGTGTGTGTACGTGAAGAGCGAAAAAAAAAAAATTAATTTCTGTGGATTTTTAGAGAGAGTGAGAAAGAAAAAACTTCATCGTCGAATTTTTTTTTTCTTTCGTGGCGTGTGCATTTATATAGATCGAAAACAATCAAAGAAGAAGACGCATCCACAGAGACAGGCACGCAAAACAATCCAGGCGCTTGCTTTATCATCACACATACACACCCACACATACACTACATAGGACATACACACACCCACTCACACATCCTCGACGCACGTATAAACGCAGAGCTTTTTTTGGACAATATAACAATATCATCGACGTCTACGTGCTCTGTGTGCTCAAGAACATTATACGTGTGTGCGAGTGCGATTGTGTGCGTCTGCTGCAGCATCGTATATACAATCCAACGTTTATATACATATAACACGCAAAGCGAAACATCGCGCAGCCATCTTGCCGTGCAAATACATCGTTGTGTGCGTCGAGTATATAGCCACTAATACACACATAGCGTCTACAGCTCTCTCATCTAGCGCGTCGGTGTGCGTGCGTGCGATTTCCTGCCTGCTCGGAGCATAAAAAGCTAAAAAACTGGCTTACGCGTGGAATATCGCTGAAATCGACTCAATGCTCCACCAAAGTCTGCCACAAAATCAATACATGAGGATCAGGCAGAACCAATATTGGAAGCGCAACAGTTAGCAGTTATCGAATAAAGGTGAGCTTTTTTTTGTTGTACCCATGATAATGATACTCGTTTTTAATACAATTTTCGTACGCGTCGTATGCGTCATTGATTAAATCCATTCACGTGGGTTATAAAAATCTGAGCTTTTCCGATCGCGCTCCAATTACTCCAATCTTCTTTGTTTCCTTTCAAAAGCTAACGTTACGGGTATAGCGAGAACCCAGATTCATTTTTTTCTGAGTAGTCCTAACTCTCTGCGGTGTGTATACATGCATCTGTTTCTCAACTCTGTATACCATATTATATATATTGCGCGATGTCTACAAGCTCGAGTTCGTTCGAATTTCGATATATGTCATTGGACGCGTTTAGCAAAGCCGTGTTTAGTAATAACGCGCGCGAGCACGCAATATACACGCGAAAAAAAAATCTTTTTTGTGCGACTTTTGTTCAAGATCAACCTCGAGCTTGCCTCGGCCAAAACGGAGTCGACCTTTTTCGCCGTATTATTGCGCAGTACAGTGAAACGAGCGTCGTTGTCGTCGCGGATACGTGTGTGTGTGTGTGTGAGTGCGAATGTATCAATGTATGTGTCGGGGGAGGGGAGCTTTATGCTGCGGGTTATATACGAACTGATCGAGAACGCTACTTCTCTCGTGCATTATATTATTGTGCGTTATATTGTGTGTGCGAGTGTACTTGCACAACCAAGACCAACGTCCCCTAAATACTCTCTATACATTTCTACTCGATGAGAAAAAGAGACGGTAACGTGCAAGGGCGTAAAATGGAGTCGTCGAGAACGCACACATACACAAGCACACGACATATGCGTGTGTGCAAGCGGCGTACAGTCCCATCTACACGGAGCTCTTGTCCTTTTGTTACTGACTTTCTCGTTTCGTCGCAAAAATCAAATATATAGGGGGCCCCCGTTCGCCGCATAGAGCGCATATGTTAAACTACTGGTCTCTCGTCGACAATGACCACTTGCAATTATCAACCGGACACTTGGGTCTTTGTAACCGTTAATATATGAAAATCTTGTAACGAATGTTTTTTTTTTTTTTTGCACTTCGCGGTCGTCCGTCCCGCGTCGAAAATCAATAATTATATCTTCGTTGCGAGCGAGTGAGCGACGACAACGACATTTATTTAACGCTACCATATACTTAATGTTCCAGCCACGTCTAGATTGGAAAATAGAAAGTCCGACTTCTTTCAGATTCGTCGGGCGAACGGCGCGGACTCGATATTTATCGCAATTCGCGTATGTATCAGTAAACTCCGCGTTTCTCAATCAGCGCAAAATAGTTACGTCGTTGTACGGGTGTTTTTGGAAAGTTTACGTGTACTCAGAGATTTTTGCTCTGTACGACTGAGATTTATGCTCGGTATTTAAAGTCTAGAGCTATCTATACGATAGAGCTTACTTTCTAATTTTTATTATGCGCCGATAGCCTTATGAATCCGTAGCATCTGTCGGGTCGATGATTGATGATTGGTCGCACGTGTGAATGAGGCATTCCTAATCCCATTTGAATGGGACTGAATTGTTGGATTAATGATCGTTTTCTTTGTCTCTTACCGCAGAGTAATTAAAGCCCGCCCCCAAACCACAAACGCATGTAATGCATCATGACAAGCATGAATTGAAATTTCTAAGATGTATATATTTTTAACAACTTTTAAAAATTTGGAAAATTTTTTTGCTGTTACAGGCAACTCCTCCAACGCTTGTTAAGGTGGTCAACTAAGTTTTGGCTCATCGAAAAAAATCAAGTTTCGAGAAACGAGAGCTCGAAGAAAAATAGTTTCGGAATCGTCAAATTTTAATTTCACGCATCATCCGTCACAATGACTAATTCAACGCCAAAGAATAATCTGGCCCGCAAAAGTATTGCGCAGGACAAGAGCGGAAGAAAATATCAGCGCAGTCCTAAACAATTCGTTAAGACTGCGACGTTCTTCTCCTCGAAGAAGAGCAAGGATCTGTCCAGCTTACCTAACTCGCCGCACAGCAGCCGTTGTAGCAGCTGTAGCAGCTCAGACGAGATGGATTCACCCACTAAATTTAGTACACCTACTAAATTCAGTACCCCTGCCAAGTTTGGTACTCCTGAAAAGTTTATCACCCCTGTGAAAAATTCAACGCTGGACGACTCTGGAATGTAAGTTGAAGTCACCATTAAAGCTAAAACTTTTAAAAAATATATTTCGCGGGGATGGTTAGTTAATTTTCTGGGTTTTATTTCATTCTGATTTAGATATAGCGCATCTTCATCTCCGATTTCGAGTCCAACTCCAAGTCTAATTAACAGCTATTTTGCTGGGGCTAAATTTGCTAATTCTCCATCAACCGAGAATTTACCATTACCACCTCAACGTTGGGTTGCATTAAGTTGCAAAAAACAACTGGACTCTGAAATGTGTAATGTCTCTGGACTGTCTAATACTGATTTCCTCAAACACGTTTTGAAGATCAATGCTTGATACTCTTTAGTATCGATGACATTGCCTAACAAGCATCCATTAGTTGTGTAAGTTGGATAAGAGAGTGTAGAAGTGAAAAATTAAAGTGATAAAGTAGATTTATAGTGTACGCCGGCGTTATTATCCAGAATACAAAGACACCACCGATACTCAAGTAGCTGCTCTGCGAGATAGCTGCTGCATCATTAGAAGTTACAGTGTTGCGCATTTTTACTTTGACTGATTGTATTATTTGCAAAATGTGTGTGATATTTGTATTATACAAAAATGAAAGACAATGCACAGTTCTACCATCAAATATGGTGCGTTAGGTGAAATAATTTTGCCTGTTAACACTGAGTGATTAACTATGCGCAGTTTTTAAGTTTAAAGTTAATTTTGTTTTGAGTATACTTGATGATAATGAAGATTCAATGAAGAGAAACAATGGAGTGCTGGAAAAGAAGAAAGAAGAAGAGAAATCCATCCTCGGGCGCTGTTTGTCATCTAAGGTTTGCAAATACAACCTTTATCGTTTTACGGTATAAGGCATATTATGAACTAGAATGAAACCAATGGTTTTTATACATACTAAGTATGAAAGCTGTGAAAAGACAAAGCCCTTTTTTAGTTCACTGCTGCATCGCAGCTGTGTCTCGATGAAAAATAACCTAAGCGTTACTCTTTTCTGATTAAAAGTCGTGTAAAAATGTAAACATATATTTTAGGTTATAGTATGTAACTTAAGGAAACATGAACACTCATTACAACCACACAACTTACTCACACAAACACGCGCTAATCATTATACATTGCATTCCATTTAATATGGATGAAAGAATAGTCATTTACTGCTTCAAGGTTATTAATTCCAAAAAAAATGAGCTTTAAATTGATTTATTTTTCTACAATCAAATTATCATCAAGCTATTTCAATCCGGAAAAATTTGTGATGATAGGACTTCATTTATTAGAAAAATGTTACGTATATTTTTTTAAAAAAAAATTGGAAAATTAGAAAAAAATTAATTATTTTTTCATTTGAATTATTAAAAAACGACTCGGTAAACGTCGCATTGACGTTAACGGTTTATTGTCAATTTATATGAAATAACGAACTTCTTGCGACGTGATCAATAATTATTATTAATATTTACTATATGAGTATATATAATGCTATATTGCCTTTCGATCTAAATAATCCATGATAGATCGATTAGGTACAACAAAAATGTGATGGTTTTTTTTATTGTAAATAAAAAACTATTAGTAAGGGAAAAATTGCAAGTTAAAAATGTTTTGAGATTTGTTATTTGAGTAAACCAGTGATAATGTAACTCTAGAATTAAAGGGAGAGATAAGACACAAAAAAACATGAAAGACCGTTATTAAAATTGAAAATGATTTGAGAAAAACCGTTCATCTATATTAGTTAAGATCTAAAAAAATCTTGAAACTCTATTTAAGATTAGGATTTATTTCCTTGCATTGCTTTTCTGGTTAAAATTTGTAATAACAAGTCATTCAAAACTCTTGCATATTCATTTGATCACTTCAATAATTACAACTTTTCTAAGTAATTGAGAATTTATTGTAGCTTTATTGTTGCTTCTACATGTGTCTAAATTCTTAGAATTTTTTAAAATTATTACTATCAGGACCACTGATTTTAAATTCCTTTTCCAACTCATTAAATGAGGAAGGCTAAAAAAATACTAATAAGTTGAAATTGATGAATCAAGTAGATTTTTGTTTCATTGTCATTTCAAAAAAGTTAAATTAATTATAATTTATTGCTATAAATGCTTAAATTAGAGTAAAAGTAAAAATAACTTTTTAGATTGGACAAACAATGGTTGACTGGATTTTAAACAGTTAGGCTATCATTTGTACTCTCTTTTTTAAAATAGGTTACAAATTATTTTGAATGTGAATAACTAAAGATCTAATCAATTATTGAACCAATCTGCTTAAGAAAAAAATCTTTTCAAACATTCAAGGTTAATCTGATCAAAGCTTTATTTTTTTTTACCTACTCATTAAAGTTATAATTCAATTATTCAATTATGTAAATAAGTATAAGTAATAATTCAAAAGATACTTAACTTGTATATAGATACACCGCAATAACAAAATGAAGATTGAGATAGTTTATCTATCTAAAAAAATTAATAAATTACTTGATTTACGCGAGATTTAAAAGTAAACGCATCAAAGCCAAAAATCTGTCGTAACTCAAGACGATGGCTAGCAAATCCAATTAATTTTTTCTATCTTTTCTTCATCAAAATCAAATTTTATTATTGGATAAGTAAGTATATCGCGTATAAAACAATCCCCTTGTTCTAGTAATTGAAATTGATATAATTCATAAGCCGTTGTTCATGAATGAGTTTATGAATGTATTTTATATTTTGAAATGTATAAAGTGTATATTTGTAATAGAGGATGTAGCCGTACATCTAATAAGTGAGGTATGAAAAACGATTGGGAGAGAGACTGAAGATAAAAGATTTAAATTCGTGCCGAGCTTCATCAATAATATTTCAGTTTTCTTTGAAGCTAGTCATTTCATTTTTTTTCTTTTTTTTTCAAAATTCTCTGTATATATTCATATTAGATCTGTATAATAGTGTACATTTTCTTTTCTTTTTTTTCTTAATATTTATCCGAACGGGAGAAGGAAATTTTCTAAAACTTGACGTTTCGTTAAACTTTTCGAAAAATCGAACTAGTAAAGCTAATAAACAGTGTGAATGGACTTTGAATGTGAATACATGCAAACTTACGGTTTTTTTTTCATAATTTTATCTACTGCTCGTATGTGTTAGAATAACATTTCTACACTCGATGGCATTTAAATGAGTTCTCGTACGCGATTAAATTTTCAATTTTTATTCTCGTAAAACGAACACCAATAACCACGCATACGTGCAAAAAACTGCTCGCGTTTTTACCAGGTTTACTCTAAAAAAAAATAATAATAATAACAACAAACATGTTCAAGTTTTACCTTTTATTCGAATTGACAGATTCTTTTAAAAATTTTCTTCGTTTTATGTTTTTATGTATGATACGTAGATGAGCCTTTAAAATTTGAAGAGAAAAAAGTTTACTGTGATTTCATAAACCCTCTCTTGTATAGCCTTTACACCAATGAATCAAAAGCAAAAATTTTTTGGGTATATTTACTGTCGCTTTACATATATAAAAAAATATATGTACAAATCGGGCCTATTTGTAAAAATATTAACGTTTTTTTGCCGGAGTGTTGTTACTTTAAACGTAATTTCTCACACGTTCATTACTTATAGTACTGCATTTCAGTTAGTTATAATTAACGTCGATCAATAATCCCCTGAAAAAGTTCGAAAAAAATTTTTAATCGTAACTAATACCAAATTGGCTCATAGTATTTTTACACATTCATTGTGAATATGCGATAATGCGACACTTTTACATAATACCAAAATTCCATCGCGTTATTAAAGAAGATGTATGTAATACGACCTACGGTAATTGCTTGTTTGTAGTTTTAAAGCGATTTAAAATTTGCAACGGTGATAAATAGCCGCATTTCAAAATTATTTTGTTGCGCCACAGTACACATTATACATATTTTATCAGAGTACAAGAAAGATTTTTTTGTATCTTGATCAAATATGTTTTAAAAAGCCAAAAGTTAGTAGTTATCCTTTCAAAATGATCTATAAAACTGTAATGAAATTAAACATTTAATTTTGATTTTTGTAACGACTCTGAAAATACAGTAATATTACATGTGATACTCAAACGTACAAAACAAACATGCTTCACAGCCGCATAAGGTTCGTTATTGAATTATCGGTTGATTGAAAATTCTTCAATTGAAAAGAAATTTTATTTATTTTTATAATAAAATAAAATTTAAATTCTAAAAATTCTTTCTGTGTTTAATTCTCTTATCTGCAAAGAAAAAAAAATTTAAATAATTTGAAGCTCATCGTAAAGATTTTAATAGTTTTGAAGCAGTTGAAAATTGTTCAACTTAACAATGTCAAATCTCAAGGCACAAAGTACGATTGGTAAAAAAAAACGTTGCTTGTTAAGCAATGAATTTTATTTTAACCGAAATACTTTTTAAACAGAATCATAAAATACACAATCACACAAGCACCTTCATTAACAAAAAAGTTTGACATTCAAATTTTTTTACTGTACAATAAAATCAGAATTCGATTTTTTTATCAGTTCATGAAAAGAAACATTGCATACACTAAATACATACAGATACACGAACAAAGGAGGAAGAAAAATATAAATAAGAAAGTGAATGGACAATGAATGAAGAAGATCAGCTCGGCGTCAGGGCGGCTTCCAATATGTTGATAAATAAGCCCTAATAACTAATGATACTTGTAAATATGATAAATAAGCGAAAGTTTTTGCATTTTTTAACAAAAACTCGAGCTTTTTCTATATACACAGATTTAAATGACACGATGAGAGTGAAAATAAAGGGCACAAATATGATATACGATGAAAAAAAAAAAGAGAAATGAACGCCCTGACGATGAGCTGATTGAAAAATATTATGCTATTGTAAATAAAAGTACATGTGTATCATAACTTCTTCCTCCTTTTGCCTTAGAGTTTTATCGTAAGCGAGATCGAGCCAAGTGCTCAAATTCGAATTTTTAAGTGGTCTGTTTGTTTTCTTATACGGTCGCGAAGGCGCAAGGAAACGAAAAAAAACAAATCAAATTCAAACTTTAAATTAAAAAAAAAAAAAAAGAACAAAAGTGTCTCATAGTGTTAGTATCTGATATGGCAACTAACTAATGATAATAGATATTGATAGACATGACATTTGGTCAATATTCTAACGCCTTGCGCATTCGTGACTCGATAAGATGCAAAAGAACCAGGAGGCGACGGAATCGCAAATATAAAATTAAATGTATAATGTTAAATGTATTGTAAAGCAGCCTGACAAACGAAATGGAAAACTTGAAAAAATGAAACGATCCGTTTTACGAAAGAGATCGTTTTATATAATAATATTATATGACAAAAAAAGGCGAATACATCGATCGAACATCACGGATGTATCCGGCGCATTATGGTGCGATGTCTCAATCGTCACAATTACAATATATTACTACACGGGTTCAAGAGAAAAAATTAAAAAAACTACTGAACATAAAATATAAATGTGCATAACAAAGGAAAGTCGCGCGTAATGATAATAATTTCGATACATAAATGAACCCAACCGCAAGCCATACTTAGCACTATAGTTAATTATGGTGGTTGAAACGAACTGATTACATTTTAGAAAACAATGAATGGTCATGATTCGACAAAATGATGGAAAAAAAGTAAAATTGAATGTTCAATCGTAATTAATACTTAGTATGTATGGAGATGCGAATGAAGATAATTAAATTCGACCCCCGAAACACAAATTCTGCACGAACGAAAAAACCGAAACGAAATTAGTTTTTATCGACCGCGAATTGCCAATTATTTTATGTGTAAAATTTTTTGTAAAATCGCACAGGGATGATGGTTAGGCATAGCAATTCAATTGCTACAATCAAAACGTAAAAAAAAATATTTTAATAGAACTCGATCGACATTACTCATCCCCGTGCGAATTTAACATTTTAAAATCTGTATTGTTTGCGATTCCGAAATGCGCGAAAATCGAATCTTTGATTTTAGCTTATTGTATAAAAAAAACTTTACCCCACCTCGACTTGGTTCATGTTTGTATAATGTACACATCTCCACGAATCGATGCATTTTTCATTTGTTTTTACATTTTAACAAAAAAGAAAAAAAATAAAACAAAACGTGACTATAGAGAGAAAAGTGTATAAGAGCGTGCGGAAATATGTGTGATTGTGTGAAATGCGAAAATGTTTATTCGATACCGCGAGAACGTTATTATATTTATTATATACACTATATATACAGGGTGCGACAAAAGTATGGAAACCCCTGGAAATATCGCAGAATATTCGTTAAAAATAAATCAAAGACCCTATATCCGACGTATTTTTCGACGAGGAATCCGATGGTGACCTTGAATTTGACCTTGAACACAACCTCAAAGCTGCAGCGACTCAAAAATCAATTTTTCAAATGTAACCCCCATTTTTTATTGCAGATTTGAAAAGAGCGGAAAATTTCACGTTAAAATGTATGTTTTGTTTTTTTTTTAAAGACCATTTTTGGGGGCGCTACAGTTAGAAAACGAAGTTCTTCCGAGCTTAATTTTAGGTTAAATCGGGGTTTTATTTGAGCCTGTAGAACCCTTAAAATGGTCTTTAAAAAAAAAAACCAAACATACATTTTGACGTGAAATTTTCCGCTCTTTTCAAATCTGCAATAAAAAATGGGGGTTACATTTGAAAAATTGATTTTTGAGTCGCTGCAGCTTTGAGGTTATGTTCAAGGTCAAATTCAAGGTCACCATCGGATTCCTCGTCGAAAAATAAGTCGGCAATAGGGTCTTTGATTTTTTTTTAACGAATATTCTGCGATATTTCTAGGGGTTTCCATACTTTTGTCGCACCCTGTATACATATGTAAAATCATTTTTAAGCGAATACGGAAGAAACAGTTTTTGTTTTTCTTTATGTTTTTCGTTGTACGTTTTTTCTTGCCTTCGCGTCGTCGAAGCGAGGCGGAAAAAGTGAAGTATCTCAAAACTTGCAAACAAAGCGTCTCTCATTGAAGAAAACATAAAAACGATGATAAACGACGGTCCGGACAACTGATTCTTTCCGATTAAAAATGCGAAAGAAAAGACGAACTAGACTATGAGGATATAAAAAATATAAATATATATATTATATTATATTATATTATAAACGGCGTTATCAACTATATAAATGGTTAAGCTACGAGAATTTTTTGGAACGACGAACCATTACACGACTCACTGTGATTTCCGTTTTCTGAAATATAATTATATTATATATACACTTTCGGCTCTCGGAGAACGAGATGTAAACCCTATAATTATAGAATGTAAAAACGTGTCGGTGACAATTTATTCATCAACTACTTTATCAAGAGAACGAACGAGGTAACGCGAATCTTACCGAATTTGTACATAAACACATAGATTATATAAAAAAAAAAACTATCGATTGGGAAAGTAGTCATGGCAAAGCAAATTTTTTTTGCTCCGAGATCGGCATCCGCAAAGTTCAAAGCACAAGAATGATTTTTAGTCGAATCGTTAAAATGGTCCACGATTGTGATAAATTTTTCAAGATTCCCTTCCAAGATTGATCCAAAGTTTGTGGATAATCCCGAGGACGAATCTGAAATAACCAAGGCGAGCTGAGGCGTTTTATCAGGCGCCTCCGACGAGTGGAAACAGAGAGTGTTTACTGTATTAATGAATCGAAGGATATTGAACGTGAAAAAAATTAAATCCTGAAGATTATGCTGTGGATTCGGTAATGAAAAAGATGGCTATAAAAATTAAGAATTGAATAAATAACGAACCGTCCCCGACACCGAAGCGAGCCGAAAATAAAAAGTAATCCAATAAATGGATATACAACTGAAGAACAATTTGCTGTAAAACAGAGAAAAAAATCAAGATCGTTAACTTTTCATCGATGTACATAAAATTCATATGTATGTAAAATCAGATCATCAACATCGACGTGCGAAAAAAAGCTTTAAAAACCTCAAATTTCAATTCTTGCATGAAAATCGATGAAAAATTCAGCAAATACATTATAAGTACACTAACTCTACTACAGAAATAAAAATCAGCAGAGAGTAACAAGTGTTTAAATAATAAGGATGATTAAATAACGCCTAGAATTTCTACGTATTATTGCGCAAAATATTATGTATTAAGTTTTTTGTCCAAATATGACGGAGAGATTCGTAAAGAAGAAATTTTATGAAGACACAAAACTGGATATGGCTTTATAATTGCGCATATTGAACCGATTGGGCGAATCCAATGATCGGTTCAATGAGAAAAACGGGTGACAAGAAAGCAAAGCGTGAGGCAATAATTTTTTTTGTTGCGAAAAGCATTGTAACGTCAATTACAATGGGGCGCGAATGTGATGTAATGATGATGGTTTAAAATTTTTGTAGATTTCGTCAATTCTATATACTGTTTGCGAGCGAGTATGTGATCTGTGATAACTAAATCCACAATACCTTCTTATAAGTATGAATGCATATCGTTCTGGGTATATATTTAGTTTATAAAAATGCGATGATTTTTGTGTATTTACGTATGCTTGTGTGTGCGAATGCGAGAGGCGTAATCGGCGCGTTGATTAAATATGAATATGACAAAGAAATAAAAAATATTTGAAAATTGAAGTATTTAAACGACGAATAAACTCCCGGCGATGGCGCACATATATAAAAAAGCCAGTTCGGGAGAAATCCGCGTAATTAACCACGGAAGTTTTCGTCCGTGGATTACGGGGGTGGGCTCTGCAACCGATCCGCCTTTTCTATGTATGCCTGTATACAATAAACTACGAAAAAATGGCGAGTGTCTGCGAGAAAAAAAGCAAGATTATATATAAAAACTCGAATCGAGAAAAAAAATCCACGACACTTTTATCTTTCTTTTTACGAGAAATAAAAGTTCGAACAAAAAAACCTAACGTATTAAAAAAAAAGGAGCGAGCTCTTTTTCGCGATGTGTGTGTATGTGTGTAAAAAAGGGCGTGTACGTACCAAAATGGTGTCATTATATTTATTGTATATGTATGCGTGAAGCGAGATGATTTTTGTTTATATAACGTGTGGATACGAGAGACTTTTATGTGCGTACGCGATATTATGTATGTATGTGCCATCGAAGTTAAAAGCATGAAAGTTCAGATTTGTAGAAAGGTTACACGTAATGATCGATAAACGGAAAAAAGGCTTGGGACTGTTGTGTCTTATAAGAATCTTAAAGGAAGAAAAGAAGAAAAAAAGATGATGTGATGGTGTCTTCCGGCATCGACGCTGGCGTGCAATAGTCTCGAAGAGCGAAACGTGCAAAATTCGTCTGAAGCTCTTCAAAGCATATAATAAAAAAATTAAAAACTGGATATTGGGAGAGAAGCGAGTCCTTCGCTGCGATGTAACACCGAGAAGCTCTCTCCACGCGCAAAAAACGAATGATGTTTCTTAAAAGACGAATAAACCTAAGTCGAAGCTCACTGAAATCAGAATAGTACCTACGTTTAAGGCTTTAATTTTTAAGGAGTAAGCAAAAAAAGAAATACGTTTTATCAGTTACTGAAAAAACTCTTCATTTGTTGAAAATGGATACTCGAAAAAAATTTAAATATTTATTAAGGAAAACATTTTCAAATGCGCGAAAAGTTAATTATGTACTCCAAAACTCTACTCGAACAGTCTTTCTCATACCAAAAATCAAAAAAATTCTAAGACGCGAAATTCGGCTACAAAACTCAATTACTCGAAAAAAATATGCTTTATTATTTGTATTTTTATCGTATAACTCTGCGATTAATGAACTGTGTTCACTACTTTGTTATTTGTTTCTAATGATACTTCCTCTACTCTTTTATACAAACTAATTGTAAAAAACAAAACACTCAACTATTCCAATTGGCATTAGAGGCAACGTTGTAAAATATTTTTAGGCTTATATTACGAATTGCAATCTAATCTTCGTTGTATAATTTCAACCTTATAGTCAGCACCGAACAAATTGTAAAAAACTTTTGTTACAATAGTCCCCCTTGTCCCAGCAACCCTCCTCAAACTGGTCAACTCCTTCCATAGTCAAAAACCCTTTTTCAAAATCAAACAAGTCAAAAATTTTCCCCTCCCTTTCCCGGGACCCCACAAGGGCCCACAAAATGATTAAAGATGAAGTAACTGAACTATTGCGTTTGCAAAACATGGAAACAAACAATCTGTCCTTTTCAGGACAAAGGAACGAACAAAACATAAAATACAAACTGCTCTTTTCAGAGCTAAAAAATTATTTATCTTCCTCCCTACAGCTTGGAGCATATAAGTGCCGTTGTCACCCACACACCAGTCGAAAACTTCAATCTGCACGAGAGCTCGATAAGTTATTACCGATTGGCCTTTTTTTCGAGACGTTCCCAGACTGACAGCTGCTGCTGCTGCCCTGTGTGTGCATTACCTGCCGAATCCCGAAAGCGTCGCCATCCATCCATCCATCCATTCGACCGGAGCTAAAGGAGAGGATGTATCGCGTGTAAATATTGGCCAACAAAGGTATTATACGCCTGGGAACGAAATTCAGGCAGTCGTAGGTATTCTCTCTCGTTTGAGATTTCAATGACAGAGCCTTGAAAAATATCACATCCTGAAAAATCATCCATAAACTTACGAATTTATTGCGTTTAAAAATAAAAAATGTTGTTTATCCTTGTTTTTCAGTTATTCTCATAAGTTCTCGCATCTTGGCCTCTTCTCTATCCAGCTCAGAGAGCCGGCCTCGCCGCAGTAGCAGCAGCAGCAGCAGACACAGCAGCGGCAGTCGCAGTCAGTCACGCTTTTCTATAAAATCCGAGGAGGAGAGAGAGAAAGAGAGACAAAGACGACCCACTTGTATAGTACACGTAGACGTGTGTATCGAGGCCTATACCTATATACTACAAGCCGTCGAGCGAAGTAAAGTGGGTTCTCATGAAGCCTGGTATACTACTACCTATACGCGCTGTATGTACGCGAACTCTCGATGCAACAGCGGTGCGGCATACATTCACCAGATCGCCTGGTTTCACACACCGCCGCTCGTACATAACACAACGAGAGACAGAAAAAAAATGGCGAAGAAAAAAACCGAACGAGCCAACCTTGTTTTGAGGGAAAAGAAGTTATACGTATACGCGTGTGTGACTCACTTCCATTAAGAGTCGCGCAGCTGCTCTTCGCGGACTAGTCTTCCTTGCGGCAGCCGCGAGTCGTACCTTTTATACGTGACGTAGTTTCCAGTCCATAATATATCCGAAATACCCGGTATATAAAGACGGATACAAATTTCCCGGGGTCATCCGCGTATAATTCATTTTTTATACTTCGTATTTTTTACTTCAACTTCCAATGCGTCCATTCTTTCCTTCTCTCTTGTCTCTCCGCGAAATAAAAGTCCGCGTATGCATGAGTGTTGAAATTTTTCGCCGTACCCATATAATCAAAAATGTTGTACACGCACATTCGAAAGTCTAATTTTGTATCATAGCTCAAGTTATATTATAGTTGCCACGTCGCAGAGATCCATCGCTCGCTTCGCGTCGCTCGCGCTAAGTTTTCTGTGTGCGAGCCGCATGCACTTAAACGATCTCGGTCAAACGTTCATTGACTCTAATCGCGAAAGAGAGAGAGAAAGAAAGAAGGACTGAGATAGAGCTATATACATTACACAAATACACACAGCGAGAGAGCCGCAGCAGTACCGAGTGCAAAAGAGCACGGAGTTGTTTTTCTGTGATAATAATACATATGTTGAGTATTTGCTGTGACGTCGTCTGTACAATTCGTATTGTTTTTTTATATACTTTGTAATTATACATGTGCACATTGTTTCGTGCTTACAAATTCTCCGTGATGAAAAAGAACGAATTAAAAACGAATAAAGAAATTATTTTTTGCAAACAATCCACTGTGTCGTTCATGATATTGTATACATTGTCTTTTCAGAACCTTATCGCATCTCCGAATGCCTCTACTGGATCACGCGTGCTATATAATGTAATATAATGCGCTTAAACACAAAAATACGATTATCAGCTCGTTAGCTACACTCGGCGAGCTATGAGGCACAATTGTGTATACGCACTCGAGTGATGTATCGAATGTCTTCGCGATCTTCATCCTACAGTTTAATCTCTCGTTATTATTATTATTATTACTATGCTTTAATACTTTTCGCAGCGCTCGAAATTCTCGCTTCTTTGTAATATCGGAGTACATGGTATAGAGCTGCGAATTCGATATTCTTTATCCGCTGTGCCCGTTATTGTGTACAAACACATTGCAATTTCGAAAACACAAAGTATCGTTTTTCGTCGATTTATCGCTGCATTACAATGCCACGCTGCCGCGCATCAATCACATATATATAAAAAGCGACGCACTCGACAACATCTCACTGCTGCAGCGGATTCGGATATCGGAGTGCGTATTGCGCGATGTAAATATTATTGTTTTGAAAGGTATCGCGCATCGATGATTTTCGGCGCAGAAGAGTTTATTTATTTTATTTTTCGATGCGAAACGATAAAATACAAATAATAAAAATATTCGCGAACTCTCGAACGACGCGAATTCGTTACGCGTTTTGATATTCAGTGTGTGCAGCAGATGTGAAAGGGTTACGCTCTTGCAGTAGATGGTCGATACGCTGCACGGAACATATAACGACTCCGAACCGAGCTGCAGACATAACAAGCCCAGCTGGCTCTCAGCTCAGCACGGTGTTGTGGACTTTCACTCGCCTCGCGCAGTTTGCAATATATATTTATTATCGATACGCGTCGTCGTATGCACAGGCGGCAATAGGTACACCACACACAAGATGCATATTATGAATGTATAATTAAGCCGCGAGAGATTTGTCATCGATTTCTTGCTAAAAGGCGCATCGAACGTACGTACGTGCCGAATGTAACATCTACTACTTTATAAACACGCGATTTCAAATTGGCATGCGACAAAAAAAAAGAAGACGGATCGTCCGTTGATGTACATCGCGCGTTTCGTTGTTTTTTCCCTGCGATGTGTGCCATTACGAGGCTGACGTAATTATCGTGTTTACCCGCGACGACGGTCGTCGTCGTCGTCGTCGTCTGTTTTTTTTTCACGCGTTATCGGACGAAGCGAGCGATCTATAAAGAACAAAAAAACCCACTCTCGAGATATCCGTTTCGTGTTGTGCAGCGAGTATAGTAAGCTTTGCGAAATATATAATGTAGCAATTGTGCAAATGTGTATCCGCGATCGACTACGCATACATTGCGCGTATTAAAGTACCGACATACGCAAACTTTGAGTGCTGTACGCAGCGTTCGGATCTATATGCAGCGTAAACATAAAGGAATAACAAAAATCGTAACTGCGCAGTTGCCACTCCGAATGATATATATATGATATAGCAGGCGCTGTGCGGTGTATACAAACACGGAGCAGAGAGACTTTCAGAGTTGGCAGTGCCGCAGCACAGCACGGCAGCAATAACATTCAACGTATATACCTATATAGTATACATATAGCACATACGTGCAAATATACACGGCTCCGAGCGCAAAAGCAGCAGCAAGCAACATCGAGCGAGCGAGTAGAGCTGCATAGAACGGAGCTGAGCTTAGCTAGCAGCAGCAGCAGCCAGGCATACGTGCGAAACTCAACGAACGCCGAGTAGCGAACATATACACAAGCGATGATCGACCATCCCTTCGAGACCCCGAGGTTCTCCCCACCATTACCAACTAGTTCCATCTTTCTGTACTACACCCTCCTCTCTACCTGCTCCAACAGCAAACTCCTGTTTCTTCCTGCATCGTCGTGTTATGTAGCATAATATTAACGTGTAGGTCTTGTGCCTTTCTGCACACTTGTACATACATACATACAGGCCTCTTAGTTTACATTATACAAATGCTGCTTTGCCTTATGCTTACTGCGCGTTTTTGGAAGTTAATAATATATTCGCGCGTCGATGCCTTGACTTTCTAGAACGTTAAAGAGTCGTCGAGCTGAGCAGCTCGCAAAACAAGTTTTTTCTTTCTTTCTTCTCTCTCCTTGCCTTGCCTCTCTCGTCTTGCTCCGACTTCTTGTAAGACTCGATTCGCACAGCTCTCTTTCTCTTTCTCTCTCTCTCCCTCGGAGTCGTCGCGAGCCGAACGAACCTCGATTCCTTTGTTCCGCGAGAGACTTTAAATGTGTGTATGCGTGCGTGCGTCTCGCTGCTAATGGGTGTCAAAAAAAAAAAAAAAACGACGATGACTTTGAGAGCAGCCGAGCAGAGCTCGTTTATTTCATTTCGGAGATTCGCATATGTTTCTAGAATATAAATGACAATGACGGATGACATGTATAGTATCGCGCTCGATATGGCTCTCGAAGCTCTCGCACGACGACGATGATGATATCAAAATAAATAATCGCACGCGCTCGAAATTGCCACCACCAGCTGCGTGCTCGAGAAGAGAGTAATTAAAAAAAAGAGAGAATCGAAATCGACTTTGTGACTCTCGCGTTTATTTTTACAGCCGTCGCGTATGATAATAATAATAATAGTAATACAATGTGACTGCAGACGATGCTAAAAAGTTGCGCAGTTTCAGTTCAGTTTTGTAAATTTTTTATTGGCATTTAATGATACATTATGCTGCCAGAACACTGTAGTAAAAAGTTGCGCGACCTTTCGTAACGCTCAGCGCCATCTGTCGCGAGGCTCGGGCACCAAGAGCTGTCTTACTTACTTCACTGCAGACGACGTGGATCTGTTTTGCTTGCCGCGACAATTACCAGCTCTGCAGAGAGCGTAAGTTCGCGCAATCGATATTTTGTGTCTGTGATGTTGTAATTGACGTTCATAACCTACAACAAAGTACAGCGAGAGTTGTTGAGAATCCAGCAACAGAAACAGCAGACGGATCGAGACACACCGTCCGCAACACCGTGTGTGAAAAATGGCGGCGGCGGTACTACGAAATCTCGGTCGCATCCCTCACTCGGTGAGGAATCACCTGCTGCACCAGCAGCCCCAGTCCGCGGTCCAGGTGAGCTCCGTGCGACTCTACGCTGACAAATGGTACCCCGACAAGGACTATCTCGAGGAGTTCAAGGGCCCGACATGGATACCCGACCCCAATCTGCCCAAGTGGAAGTTCGAGCCCTACCTCAAGGAGCAGCTGCCCCCGGAGAGGACCATCAAGAACATCAAGGTCAACTTCGGGCCCCAGCATCCCGCGGCTCACGGTGTGCTGCGTCTCATCCTCGAGCTCGACGGCGAGGTCGTGCTGAACGCCGATCCGCACATCGGTCTGCTGCATCGCGGCACCGAGAAGCTCATCGAGTACAAGACCTACACCCAGGCGCTGCCCTACTTCGATCGACTCGATTACGTCTCGATGATGTGCAACGAGCAGTGCTACTCGATGGCCATTGAGAAGCTGCTGAACATCGAGGTGCCCCTTCGAGCCAAGTACATTCGCACCCTCTACGCCGAGCTCACTCGCATCCTCAATCACATCATGGGTATCGGCACCCACGCCCTCGACGTCGGCGCCCTGACGCCCTTCTTCTGGCTGTTCGAGGAGCGTGAGAAGCTCATGGAGTTCTACGAGAGAGCCAGCGGTGCTCGTATGCACTCTGCTTATGTAAGACCCGGTGGTGTGGCACTCGATCTGCCACTTGGTCTCATGGACGACATTTACGACTGGGCCTCCAAGTACGGAGAGAGAATCGATGAAGTAGAAGATCTGTTGTCTGAAAACAGAATTTGGATTCAGAGAACCAAAGATATCGGTGTGATTTCTGCAGAAGACGCTCTGAATTATGGTTTCAGTGGTGTAATGGTCAGAGGATCTGGTATCAAGTGGGACATCAGAAAAGCAGAGCCTTATGATGCCTACGATCTTGTTGACTTTGATGTTCCAATTGGCCACAAAGGAGATTGTTATGACAGATATCTTTGCCGCATCGAAGAAATGAGACAGTCATTGAGAATTATCGAGCAATGTTTGAATCAGATGCCTACCGGTGAAATCAGAACAGACGATGCCAAGATTGCACCACCCAGGAGACAGGAAATGAAAACTAGCATGGAGGCCCTTATCCATCACTTCAAATTGTTTACGCAAGGTTACCAAGTACCCCCTGGCTCTACGTATACAGCTATTGAAGCTCCAAAGGGAGAATTCGGAGTTTACCTTGTAAGTGATGGCAGTTCGAGGCCATATAGGTGTAAAATTAAGGCTCCAGGTTTTGCTCACTTAGCAGCTCTACAAAAGATGGGTCCAGGTCACATGTTGGCTGATATTGTAGCCATTATTGGTACATTGGACGTTGTATTTGGTGAGATTGACAGATAAGCTGTTATACTTAGTAAAAACTTGTAAAATATACATAGAAAAAGATTTTGTCTCATGATTTACGAAAAGAAATTTGTATGTCACATAATATTTAAGAATAAATTGTTATTTCTTTAAAATGGTTAAATGATTAGTTCTGTTGATTTATAAATAAAATGCTATTTTATTGTCAAATGCTATCATCCCACATTTAATAAATCCATAGTTTTTTTAAAAATCATGGACTTTTCATATTTTAAGTGTCAGTTTTGTTTAGTCAAGTTTACCCTTTAAAAGGCTTTATCAATGTTTTTTGTTAAAAAAATAATTCAATCCAGTTATATTTTACTAATACTTTTATTTGTGATAAAATATCTATTCCTGGAATTTGAAGCATTATAATACATTTGTGTAAAAAATAATATTCATGTCAATAGTACTAAATTCATGTACTACACTATGTCTCATCAATTAGACAAGCTTCTTGACATTCTCCAGATTTCCAAGTTACCTTTTGTATCTCCGATTGCCACCATTTCTCTAGAAAATTTATAATTTTATTTAGAACTAAATTTTATCAACATTTTTGTAAAGAACAATTATAAACATATCAATTTAAATGACATTACCTTTTTGAATTGAAACTAAGGCAAGTAGCATTTTCTCTATTTTCAGAATAGAGCATAGTTTTAGACAATGGTCTACCTGTTTTAACATTGAAGAATTTGACTTCTGGTCCAGCACCATATGCCAAAAATACATCAAAGTTACCAAAATGCCAACTTATTTGCACTGGTGTGCTGTCTAATGTGATAATTTTTAAACTGGCAGGCTATGAGAATATTGAAATGAGTTAAAAATTTTATAAAAATAAAAATTTTAACATTTTTATCTTACCTGGTCAAAGTCATAAATATGAACTTCTCTATCAGCTCCTGATGAAACAAATAAGTTTTGGGTGGGAGCACTCTTGACACAAGTTACTGTACTCTTATGTTTATCATATTCACTTATTACTGGATCAAAAATCATTTCAGTACCTATATCAAGTATAAACGATAAAAAGGTAAGTTAATCGATGCAAGAATATACACACTTTTGAGATTTACCTTCAATGGGAATTGTTTGATCCAAATTGCATTTATAAAGCCTACCACATAAAGTTCCGACTACAAATACTTTGTGATCTTTTGCTGAAAAATCAAAAGAGGTGATATGAAGCCCAGCTTCAGCATTTTTATCTTCACCTTCATTTCCTAATGCAGATTTTTCAGTAAGATTTTTTTCTTTTAATATTTTATATCTAAAAAATTCAATAGTAGCCAATGAACTCAGAGTATCAGTTGTTTGTAATTTATTTTCAACTTTTGAGCTTACTTTTTTTGTGTTGAACTTTGAGTAAAATTAATGGTAAGCCTGTGTATGTAAATATAGCCATCTCCCCCAGATGTTATTAATGCTGATGCATCATTTAGTATTCTGGAATGCCAATAAATTTGAGTAACCATTTCTCCATGAGTACATACAAACAATGGTGCTATTGAAGATTCTTCTCTAAGATTCCATACCATAACATCACCTAAAAAAAAAATTTTGGATACCTTTTCTTTTAACAGCTGCAGAAAAAATAAAAATATTCTAATGAATTCAGTAATTTTTACCATCAAACAATCCAGCAGCCAATATTGATGGTTCATCTGGATGATATAGCAAAGTTGTCACACAAGATGAAACTTCAAGTGATTTAGTTGGTACAGTCATGAGTAAATTGTCTTTTGAAAGATTGTATAAATCAACTTTGGTAATGTCATTGCACCATGATTTGTGTTGGGTGGCACTATGCCCAATTGCCAAAGTACCACCACCAGTACTCCATGTTACACTGCTTACTTTGCCCTAAAATGAAATTGTTATTATATTGGTTAAAAATGAAGTTATGGAAGGTGTAAAAACAAAAATAAAATACCTTGAACTCAGACAAGTCTAAAGTATTGATTCTATTTATTAACTGAATGTTAACAGCTGGTTCATCGCTACTTCCTACGGTATAATCATTAAAGGCACTTGTTCCGTGTTGTTCGTCTAAAAATTTGAACACACCAGGTGCAATGCGATTTAAAAATTCTGCCAATTTATCCTCATCGTACTTTGGTTCATTAGTTGGAGTCTCATTTGCAGTCTGTGTCTGAAAATAATAAATTGAAAATTTACCAATTATTTCCATTTTGTAAACTTATATTTAATCATGACTATAAATTGTTTACTTGAATACTTTTAGTTTCTACAACTTGTGTTTCTTCCGATTCATAGACGACATGCTCAGTTTGAATGTTGGCGGATTTTTGTGATCTATTAAAGAATAATATTAATACATTTCCATCAGTATATGCTGAAAATTATATGCAAAATACGTACTTTTCATTAGTCGTCACGGACTCGAAACTCACAGGACTGTAAGACTTATCACTGAACATGTTTGATTTGACTTATGATTATTTTAATTAATAAATATTATGCGTAAAATACTTATGTAAATATAAAAAAACTCTTTAATAAATTCAATATGAAATTATATTATAAAAATAAAATTTAATAAAAACTCATTTAGACAACAAAAGCTTGTTATAATTTTTTCGCTCGTCGCACATTTGACACCGAAAAAATGTACACAAAAGGAGTTTGTTATTCTGCTTGGTTGCGATGTGCCATATGGCTTCTTCGGGTAATATTACATTTGCGTTCTATTGTAAACAACGCAAAATGAAAATTCGATTATTTCAGTTTTCGTTTGTAATTAACTTATTTTTATAATTGTTAATTTTTTTGTGTGTATATCACTTTCAATCGGGAGTAAGAAAGATAATTTAAAACAAAAATTAATCAATTTGAATAAATTTAACAACATAAATTGAAAAATTTTCAGACTATAAATGAATTTTAAAATAAATGTATAAAAAACTACGAAATGAAAGAAATGTAAATAATAGTATTGCTTTCTTATTGAAGTAAATTTTCTATTTTTATTTTTTTTTTTAATAAAAAATCGAAAGAGCTAAATTCAAATTACCGCTACTCGAGGGTCGCTTCACGTCGACGAGTAGTGATGGTACTGCCACATGCGCGTTCCGATCTCGCTCTCCCTAGTAACCTTCTTTCCAATTACAGCTTCTTTTACTGAGTCGTGCTAGAATACAGCTGACATCTTTACAATTGATCAAGGTAATTTTTGTTGCTTTTTAGACATAAACATTAGGATAAAATTCACAAAATGCAACTTTGATGCGCAAACAATCCTTCCATTTAATATTCATGTATAATTTTACAAGTGAAGTTCATAAATGTGATTGATTGTATTGACATGCCACATGCACGTGGTTCGTTGCGCTAATTCGATGATTGAAATAGTTTAAAAAGAAAGATTGTTGTAAATTGTTACTTTCTTTTGTTTTAAGATGCCATCCGTAACAGTCAAGGATGTTGACCAACACAAATTCGTGAAGGCTTTGGCTTCCTTCATGAAAAAGTAAGTGAATTTTTTTATTGCCGGTCACTTTAACCTAAAAAATAATGCACTAACAGTACTGTAGCTCACTACAGTTCATCTGCAAACAGAATATTTTTTTGTGTGCTGTAAGCTTTCTTTTTAAAATTCTACAATTTTGTTAACATAACTTATGAAAAATTATTTGTTTAGGACCGGCAAGCTCCGTGTGCCAGAATGGGTTGATCTGGTCAAGACAGCCAAGTTCAAGGAGTTGGCTCCCTATGACCCCGACTGGTACTACACCAGGTGTGCCTCTATTGCCAGACACATCTACATCCGCAGCCCCATTGGTGTTGGTGCTGTTACCAAAATCTATGGTGGACGCAAACGCAACGGAACCCACCCAAGCCATTTCTGCCGCTCTGCTGGTGGTGTTGCTCGCAAAGCTCTCCAGAGTTTGGAGCACCTTAAGCTTATCGAGAAGACAGCCACTGGTGGTCGCAAATTGACCAGCCAGGGTCGCAGAGATCTTGACAGAATTGCCGCTCAGGTTAAAGCCAAGAGCAAAAAAGTGAAGGTTCAAGAAACCCTTACCTTGTAAAAAAATATAATGTATTAAAGTTTCTTAAAAATACATTTGTTTTATTTTGGTAATTTTTATTTAAAATAAACAAATCCACAGTATCCGTCCATGGTTTTTACTACTACTCTTCACAACTTATTATTAATTTGCTTAAAATATAAAGTTAAAGATCAACAATTTAAATAAAAATGTCTACACTCTTCTTCAAGCTCATACATTATTTTTCTATACGTATTGACAAAGCATCAACTAACTTCATGGTAAATTTGATAATTTGATGGACTTATTGTTAAAAGGATAATTTGCTTACACTATGAAGTTAAAGATCCAAAGTTTAAATCAGATGCCTGCCAAGCTAGTCCAAGTTCATATATTATTTTTCTATAAGCAATGTTAAACTATCAATTAATTTTACAGTAAATTTAATAATTTGCCTATACTATAAAGTTAAATATCGAAAATTTAAATCATGTCTAAACTCTGTTCCAAGTTTAAATATTATTCTTCCAAATGTAGTGCCAAACTATCCAATCGATTGACAAAAAATCCTATAAAAATAAGAATATCTTGCCAGTTTTTCAATTTTGCGCAGTCAAAGAAACTGAATCAGTTTTGAAAAGTTTACCAAACCAAAGGCCTTTAGTACAGATTCTCTAGTATAACGTGTGTCGCATACACCAAGTGGTGGTGTCGACTTACACTTCTCTCATACTTACTAAGCATGTTTGCGACGATAGAAGGCAGGAGACGATAAAAAAAAGCGCCGAGCAAACTTTTTTACGCCTCGATGCATGGTGTACTCGAGCAGCAGTTTGAATTGCGAGTCCAAACGCGAAGGTTCGAACAATTATAGAGCTTAGAGAGTGATAAATATATTTTTTCTTTCCGGTGTAAAATTGTTTTCTTTGCAAAAATGTGTTTTTGGTGCTTTCAATCGAGTAACTGTTTTTGGGATCCACGAATGATGATGCCTTGTCCAAGGTTTGTGCAATTGAGTGGATTTTACAAGTGTTAATTACGCATGTGTAGAAATAGCATTGAGCCTGTCACAGAACAAAGACACTTATTCATCATTTCAAATTGCACTAATAATTTTTCGCGTATTTCATCCGCTTTTACGGTCTACATCCTGAATCGTTGAAAAAAACAAATTGTTTACAGATTTGCCCTCAGACCACCGCCTGCCATCCCGAGCATTTGTTCGAAATGCAACAAAGAGTATAGGGGCCCACCGCGTCGATATCCTCCTTTCATGAATCATCGACGAAGATTAATCGTAGATAAGAAAAGATGCGGACGCGACGATAAAAAATTAATCAGCGACGACCATCGCAAAAAGATCATAGGACACCTCGAAATCCTAGTAGATACGCTGAGAAATGAAAAAGGTAAGAAGCGTCGCTCGTCCCATTGAATGAACGATTTTTCATCTCGGCATCCGTAAAAAGTGGTGAAAAATTCGTGATATATATCTCCAACTCCGTTCTGCAGGTCACGAAGAGACCCTCGAGACGTCCAAGAAGCTGCTGGAAATGCTGCGCAACGTCGATTACAAGACGAATCTGAGCGAACAGTCGCAGGCCAAGCTCTCTGCCCTATTTACGCGCTTTTGTAAATTGAAAAACGTTACGAGCAACGATTCCGCGAATAAAGCTACACCCGCCGAGGCGCTGAGAAAATTCCGGGAATGCGGCCGTATTCAGCAGCAGCAGCATTTACAGCAGCCATCGTCACCCGCAGTACACCAAGTAGAGGAGTCTTGAGAACGCATGGAGAAAAATCGGTTTTATGTGTCATTTCGAAAATTAATAGACGTGACGTTGTTGATATGACTGATTTTGAGTAAACGAGAGAATGAATTAAACGATATTTTTGAAGAGTTTGAAGTGCGATGAAAAGGAGCAAGCAATGATTAATTTTTATGTATGCGTATTTTTAATGCATTATTTTTTATGAGACTGTAACAGCATATTATGTTTTATCCTAATGATTATTTTCTAAAATGAGTGTTACTTAATTACAGTCTATAAAATAATTCAAGGATTCGAAGGTTTGTCTGTTAAATTATAGAATTGATTTATTTACATTTTTTTATATTCCCAAAGTATCTCATTTTCTATCTAATTGAAAAATAAAGTTAACGCTAAAAATATTTTTCAGAATCATATTTTAATTACCCTATGCATGAAAACAATGCTACGATATAAATTATACATACAAATTTCTCTCGTTAACTTTTTCCATTTCTTTCTCTTCTCCTTTAACTTTTGTTTGAGTTTTTTTATCGCCTCATCTCGGTAAACATTTAATTCTACATTTTTACAATGTTTTATGCATTATACGGAACTTATTGCATATAATATTTTACAAGTACAATATTGTGTCGCTATTATAATTCACATTTACACTTCTTTTACAAAGTAGTACATTACTGCCTTGGGCCATGAAAAAGGAAGCTCAAGAATAGCTGCAGGGTCATTATCAAATTCAAGGAAAAAAATGTGCAAAGGGTTTTTACCCAAGAGTTTCATGCTTATATTGGCGCCATTTTTCAAGAGCATCTCTACTACTTCCATTTGTTTATATTATATAGCTAAAGTCAATGGTAATTCTTTGGAGCATGGACCTGACCAAAGAAGATCAAGATCGGTTTTTTGATCGATGAATTTCTGTATCATCTCGACGTTGCCGCAAATGCAGGCCAAATGTAAAAATGTAAAACCTCCGGCGTCGCTGTCGTCCGAGTCGCTGAGATTTTCTATTACCCCGGAATTATTGACAGATCTTAGGAGTTCCTCGAAGTATTGATCAGCAATGAATTTCCATCTACAGAACTCATTTCAGTTATATCAACAGCTCGTGTAACTCAAAGGGTTCTTATGCCAGCCACGTAAAAATTTCAGACTGGCGCCATTTTTCAGTAAAATTTCCGCCGTAGACAAATATCCTGTTTCGAGGCTTAATGTCAATGGAGATTCGTTGCGTCTTTTTTTGTAAAACGTTTTGACATTGATATTCACGCCTTTATTTATGAATCTTTGCACCACCTCATCGAGGCCATACATACAGGCTGCGTGTAAATACGAGAATCTCTCATCATTGAGTACTTGCAACTCGGCACCACTTTCTATGAGTACTCTGACGACCACCGACGATGGCCATGTTTCTTCCTCTAAGATTATTTTGAAAATCCAGTTGATATCCTCGACTTTGTTGTCAAATTCTTCATCTAAAAATATCCAGATGTCCTTCTTTCGCCATCCATAATTTTCCTTCATAAAAGTGTTGATGAATCTACGACCAATTTCTTCTCGACTCTCTGTCAGAAGATTAAACCGATTATGCCGCATTTTGTTTTTCTTACTGACACTGATTGTAAAATAGTTATTTAAACTGCACAGCAGCTTAACTGCCTCAAAAAATGTTCAGCACTTTGTTATAAGCAATTGTAAATTAGCGTATATTCACAAACTTAATTTTTGACTATTTTTGTTTCTATATTTGACACCGCAGCTGTGAGCGCAAACTTTTACGACCCACTGATTCACAACGACTGTCTACTTCACACACGATGCTCCTAGTAAAACCTACTGCTGCTGGCCAGTAATATTTTTTTTCTCCGATCATTCATTAAGCGCGGAAAACCCATTTTGACGTAATATCCGCGGAATTCGAAGTGGCTGTCACCACTCATGTATCGTTTACTCGATTTTACTTCTTTACCGATGCAGAATAACGTAGATGGTGTTTCAAATATTTTTCGATGATTACAAAAACCTCGAATGAAGATTTATGTTAGAATAGATTTTTCTGTTAATTAAATTATCCATAATATATTTAACAATTATATTGATGCCACAATTGCAACTATCTTATAGACGTTTCAAATGCCGAAAGTGCTCCTCGACATAAAATTTCCTTCGAGCCAAGTATCTTACAGCTTCGAGCCGAAGGGAGATGAAATTAGTGTTTTATTTTATTCCGAAAATTTACTTATTTTTTCAATATTGTTTTACACGATAAAGAGCACTACGAGGAAACCGCAGTATAATCGGAAATGGAAATGTTGAAATTAATCTTCTGAAAAAGTACATTTGTTGAATAGTCATAAGTAAGAGATGCACTGCATGATTGTTTCATTTGAAAATTTTCTGTTTATATCGCAAATGTAAGATTGATGTGGATATTAAGACTATCCATTTGTGTAAACGATTTTTAATTGAAATTAATTTCAAAAGAACATACACATCGCTTTTCTCGTACTTCAGGATAGGTCGTACTGCAGCTTCTTCGAAATTTTTATTCACATATCTTTGTAAGTAATGGATCAAAATTGCCCCGATCCAAGCTTCATCGTTTAGCATAGTAAAATTACCCGTAACGGCTCGTAGATGCGTCATAATTTTTCAAGCGCGTTGAGTATAGATTATTTCTGATATCGGAAGCAGTGATTATTCTCCCGAAAGCGAACCGATCGGTACATCTCGATCGTCATATTATTTATTCATTAATTCATACTCGTGAAAGATATTGTATTTAAGAACAAGGCAGGCCGTTTCAATTGTATATAGAAAATTATTTATTTATTCCACGTCCAAGTCATGTCAAATTTGTATACATATAATTAATTCTAAAACTCGATCGTAAGCAGTACATGTAAAACTATTATATCAAACGGGACATAAACAGAAATCTCGATCGTCACACAATGCGCGACTTGTTACATATGTGTGTGTGTGTGTGCGTACAAACAAGACACACAATCACTGTATATACCACTCGGTGAAATATTGATTCCACCACGTCTGCTTTTGTTCCTCTTCCAGGGGATAATTATTATGATGCCCGTTGGGTCCTCCTTGGCTACCGCCGCCGCCGAGCTCGTCCTCGCCGAAGCACTGCGTGTTTATTCTGAACTCTCTGCTTCGCCTCTGGCCCGGATCCTTGTAATCGTTGACGAAGAAGTCCTCGTAGCAGACCTGGCTGATGCAATATTGGCCGGGACGCTGGTAGATCTGGGCGTCGGCCCGATTGATCCGCCTGTCGCACTCGTACTTGGGGAACCACCTCGAGTCCGAGACTCCGGTGCTACCGTCGCTCTCGATCTTCGACACGTAGTGGAAATTGTTGGAGTTGCGACAGGCGACGTCCTGGCAGTCGGCCGTGAGCAGGAGCATACCTCCGTAGCCGGGCAGATTCATCACGGCGAACTCGTGCAAGTGTCGGTGTTGGCCCACGACGAACGACGTCTCGAGGTTCAACTGGCCGCGTCTGTTCCACTGGTGGCAGGTGAGCTGGGTGGGCGAGGAGCCGGTGGTCCTGGCGCAGACGCCGATGTAGCCGTTGCGCGTCGAGTAGGCGATCCTCTCGTACGGGTCGACGTCCGTCGAGTCGGCGTCCAGAATCGTGTAATTCTGCAGAGGCACGAGCCGACCGCTGTGCTCAAGGATGGAGACTCGAGCGACGGTCGAACGCTGACGCTGATGCGTGTCGATGAGCAGATAGCCTTGGCCCGGTGCGCCCGCCTCCAGCGGGACGAGGATCATCGAGTTGTCGCGCACCGCCTGATAGAACCAGCGCCTGGGCCCGCCGATGACTCCGGCGCGATCGTCGAAGCTTATCCAGCACCTGGGCACGTCGCGGTTGCGGGAGGGCGCGGCGTAGCACTGCTCGCCACGACGATCGCTGTTGACTACGGCGACGAACCAGGTGTCGTGGACGACGAGGCTCACGGGCTCGAGTCCCCGCAGTCGTTGGGAATCGGCCTCGTAGATCGTGCAGTCGCTGAAGCGCACGACCATCGGTCGCCACCGCTTACCGGCGGGCTGGCTCGAGTCGATCCAGTTGAGAATGGCTCGGTCGGCGCCGAAGCGCCACACTTGCATGGAGCCAGGCTGGACGGTGGTCGTGCTCAAGCCGAGTCTGCACTGGCGCTGGTAGCCCCGATCGTCGATCTTGGTGACCAGACACCAGCTCTGGGGCGAGGCCCACTGCTGGTACGTGGAGCTGGACTCGTCGCAGACGGCGAACACCCGACTGGCGTTCTCGTACGAGTGCAGGTCGAAGATCGGATTCTGGCCCGGGCTGTACCTGTTGTAGGTGTATAAGGCCGACGTCAACGAGGCCTGGAGGAGGCTGCTGGCCAGCAGGAGGAAGCTGAGCATTTTCGCCACGCGAGGCATTGTCTATGTAGGACGAGAAAAAAGAGAGAGAAAATTGTCAGAATTAGTCCGTGTGGATTATTTCGAAGCGGTGAGCTATATGCTTACCTTTGTTTACGTGTGTGTGTGTACTGTCAACAGCGACTGTAGGCAGTCGACTGATCGAAGGCAAAGTTGACCGAGGTGTATTATAGCAAGCCGAGTGAGGCTTTATAGTACGCAAATAATTTTGAAGAAACGATAAATAATTTGAATCGATGTAACCGAAAAAAAATTGATTTTTGATGTCGGTTTCGATACGGGTATAAAATTGACTTGTTCGAATGGCAGTAGTCAGGGGCAAGAATGATATTGAAAAATTTATGTACTCTGATAGAAATGCTCAACATTTTATACATATTTTTTCGAACAAATACGGCCCTAATGATGGCGGTCGTGCTTATAAAATCGTGCTTTGAGTTATACAATTACTTTGACTTTGCCACTTGCAGATTTACAGGTACAGGTATTAGCCATTTGGTGGTAGAGATTTAAAGTGGTAGAAAACTTCTCTGAATTTTTTTGTATGATTAAAATATCATTCTCAGGTTACTTAAAGCGCGCTTCATATTTGTAACATAATTGTGATAGAAAAATCTCCAAAAAATGAGCAATGATGATGTATTTTAAACTATTTAAAAAATTCTCATTTTTTATCATAAGGCCATTATTAATGTTGGATATTTTTACCATGGTAAAAGTTAGTATTATTAAAAGTACAACTGTTTACAGAATAGTAAAACAATTTAGCTCAACTATTTTGGACTTTGGAGTATCCTTAAAAAAAAGTACAATCGTGCAGCTGAGTTTAAGGGAGCTTAGCGAGCAACCGCAAAAATATAAATAATATTAAAATCAATCCATTTGAACGTAATTTTAATTAATGAAAAAATGAAAAAGTTGGATCTATTCGATAACTTGTGTATAAATATAGATCGAAATGGTATTGTTTTTTTAAAACCGTGCATAAAGCTTGCTCGTAAACACTGGAGTCTATATGGGCGTCCCTTTGCTTTCGATACCGGCTCTGAAGCAAATTTTTTAGTTTGAAAAATCTAAAGAAGTTAACAGAGGTACCTTTTAATAGTTCAAAAAGTTCTGAATTTTTCCAGACTTTTTGATACGCCAAGGCTTCAAAATAATTTGTTGAAAATTTCAGCCGAACCAAGTTTGCACATTTTTATACACTTTTTCAGCATTAAAATGAATGATCTTAAATTTATTCGGACTTTTTTTTATAGAAAACTTCAAGCTCTTTGGTCAAAACTCCAAATTTCAATAAAAAAATCAGTCGTTCCAGATAGAGCTTCGAATCTACAAAAGTTTTGAAAATCGTAAATATGAAAAAAAGCTTGTGTTTGAATTGGCGACACACGTGAGTATGAAAATTAAAAAAAGCATTACTTCGACCCATATACATTTAACGACAGCTCATCAAAACAACGATCATCGAGCGGCAGCAACATCATGCCCGCTCATATACTTACCGCCGTGGCTTGGAAGTTTGGATCTTTCTCGCTGCGTGCATCAATAATAATAAGCGCTCGGGCCTCGGCGCGCACAGAAACTTTTTCGCGGTATCGGGTCACGTTTTGTTTACAATCCCCGGGATCGTTGTTTTGGCTAGCGCTTCAACAGGTATATACACGCACGTGGCACAGTCTCGATCGTCTCATCGGTTCGGTCTCGCGCACACGTTACGCAGTCGCATAGCCCAATACAAACCGTAAACCTCCAATTCATTCTTACAAAAAGTGCAGTGCAGTCATATCGCAGAATAATTAATTTTTTTTCCAGTTCACAAAAAATGGCTTGTTTAAACAACAATACGGTTCTCTGCACGTCGGACACCACCTGTCACTTGTGCAACAAAAACAAGTACGACTACGAATTTTTTATGTACCGGGAGAGCAAATGGAGGCGATTGTGCATCAATGCTATGATCATATTGACGATCGTCCTGGTTATCGTCTACTTCGGCTTGCTGATGACTTTGACGATAATGAACTTCGCCATGAATCGCGCCATTCACGAGGGTCAAATGCACTGTCAGAGCGTCGATAATGCGTGAGTACTTTTTTGGATTTTGAAAGAAAAATAAAGAAAATTGATTTTTAAGTTTGCGATTTTAACTGTTTCAGAGGTTCGATGAGTTAATTTCGGCAAAAATTGAACATTGCAAAATTATTGCAAGGACTCTATATTTTTTTGTTTTAATATATTTTGACTATAATCCTATTATTACTTGCGTTATTGTTATTGCCGTAATTATTATCATTCAATGTACATTTGACTTAAACTTTTAAAATGCATTATTGCAAAGATTCATCAATTCGAAAAGAATCGCAATTTCATTATTATAAAATAATAAATTGTCTTAGCCCTGTTTCAACATTTGAAATCTTACCTTTTCAAAAGTTAGATTTAAATGTTTGATGGTTTGTTCGATACTTTTCAAATGATAATCTATTGTAAATTGAGTACCATTATTATAGAGTTATTGGATTCTTGTTAACTTACATGAATAATTGCGCTCTGGGTGTTGAACAAATTTATGTTGATAATAGTTTTGAATGTAAATGACTAATGAAAATTTATAATTTGAAAAAAAATACAAAAAATTGTGTGTTGTAAAGAGTCATAAGATGTGAAGTACAAAATTATGTTAATTTCATTGTATCTTTACCTATAATATGTTCGTCTTAGGTACAAAGTGAAAAATGTTTGATGTAAGTCAAAAATTGCAATGCATACAAATGATTAAAGTATGTATGTAGATTCTATCTACTAGTAGCTATCTAGAATATATTAATTTTTGTTTTAAATGTATGAAAAAAGATGAATGTTTATGAATTAAGTTCCATCAATTCAATTAAAAAATAAAATGTCCACCCTACTGAATATATGTTACCTCTGATATAATTTAAAATTATAAATAAAAGTAAAAAAAGTTGTAACGTAACTATAAAAATGTACTAATTTTTTGTTACTACCATTACCATTAGAATTAAAAATGTAATCAAAATTTAATGCAATATGGTGAAAATATCGAAAAAAAGTGTACTTTCAAAAACGATTAAACTTTTTTCGAAAAGCTGGCAACCTATTTAGCTATTCCTACTATTAGCCTCGATCATTCAAGGTAAAAATGAAATTTAAAAATCCATTGAAATCTGTTAAAATCACTTTTTCGAATTTTTCACGAAAGAAATCTTAGTTACAAACTATAATCTTTTAGTTTACGTTGGATCCGTCGAGTTAAATTTTTTTTTTCAAAAGTGACCACCCTACTCTGCGTTGCGTATGACTGTAAGTGGAGAAAGTGGAATATTAACCTAATGACCGTTTAACACTAATTTTGATGTTTACAGTTTTTTTTTTTTTTAACCAATTTTTAAGACGATAAAAAAGACATAATTTTTTAACTACTCGGTAGATCCTAAAATAAGTTTTTAACGCTTCATATCACATAACTTCCTCTTTGAGGAAGCAAAATCTCCCTCACGAAGAAAACAAAAAAAGTCGTGCAAACCCGGCACTGATTTGTCAATAGATTCGAGAGAGCAGACGCCGGCATGTGAGTTTGCACTCTGCAATTGGTCGATCGAAGCGCGAGCAAGAGTGTCGATCAAATTCAAATGTACATTTCATTGGACGGAAATTCGCTTGGGTAAATTTTTAATGGTTTATCGAAAATGAGAAGTAAAAGTAATTTTTTTTCAAGAGAATGCGAAATTTTTATTGAATATTTTTTCGTAGCTCGACGCGTAAAACAATGAGCGACGAAATTGGCCTTTTTTTTATCCGCTCGCTCCAAAACACTCCAGCCGAATGCGATCGTTTTTTCAATTGTCTATATACTAACGAACAATTTAAATCGTAAAATTTGCAACGTCTCCGTACAAGCGTCGCTCGTGGTTTCTGATATCCCGTCTAGATCGAACGGTAAGTAAACAATAAACAAAAGTACGCGTGTAACTTAAGCTCCCGGCGCTCTACGACGCCGCAGCGTTATAACTAAAATAACGAAAGACAAATAAGTGAAAAATATTTCATATCATTCGAAAGGAGGTCATGTGTCTGCACTTGGAAGGCTCGGAGACGTTGCAGCGAGACGACGACGACGACGACGACGACGAGTACGACGAGTACGAAGAGAGATTCGGTAAATTGAAGAGTTTGCTAATAGAGTTCGATGATTGGGATCTCGAAGAGGAGCGACTCGAGCTTCTCCGTCGACTCGACCCTTTGATCGTCCAATGGACGGGCAATTTTACCGGTCTGCTCAGCTTCCTCGAAGACTACAAAATTCTGACTCTACTAAGGGATGCGATAAATTACCAAGAAGGCGAGCCGGACTCGAACGCGGGAACGCGATTCATCGAGTTCGTGTTACGGAGCGGCTACCGCGACGAGCCCGCCGTCGACGAAGGGGCCAGCTCGCCGAAGCTCTTGTATTGCCCGACACCGCTGCATCTCGCGACTCGCTGCCGGTCCGAATCGAGCCTGCGAAACGTGTTCGCGATGTACCCGAGGCTCGACGTGACGTACACCGAGAAGCGCTGGGGCCTCGCCCATCTGCACGTGGCCTGCATCCACGGCTTGCAAGACCTGGTGGCGAGCTTCCTCGATCGGGGCGGCTACGGTCTCGATCACCGGGTCCTGAGAACGGGCGAGACGCCGCTGCACCTGGCCGTGCGCTACCGCCGCAGGGAGGTGGCCGCGCTCCTGTTGACGAGGGGCGCCGACGCGAACGCGCGCGACCTCCACGCCAGGACTCCGCTGCACGCGATCTGCGCGAGAGCCGCCGCCAAAGCACGCGACAGCGACGACGTCGCGATGGCCAAGACTCTGTTCGACTATCATCGGCGAGTGCGGGACGAGTCGCCGCACGACACGGCCTGGCGCGACAAGTGCGAGCTGCTGCGCTCGCTGCTGTACGACCCGGGCTCTGCTGCGTCCTTGGCCAACGTGAGATTCGAGTATTATCGGCCCGGGGTGGACGTCGACGCCCAAGACAGGGTGGACAACACGCCACTGCATCTGGCTCTGCACAACGGCAAGCTGAGACTGGCCGCGTTTCTGCTGGAGCGGGGCGCGGACCTGACACTGCGCAACACTTGGAACAGGAGGCCCACGTATTGCAGCCCGCGCAATAACCGCGACTCGCCACTGCACCAGGCGCTGAAGCTGGGACTGGAGAGGACGACCAAGAGGCTGCTGCTGGCACGAGTCGTCGATCCGAATCGGGTGAACGGCAAGGGTGCGACTCCACTGCACGTGATCTGCGGCGGGAACAATCCGATGATCGGCCGGCACGATCGCGCTCCGAAACTACTCGAGATCGTGCTCGAGAGCTGCGACAAGATCGGCAAGTCGCCGTGGCTCGACGCTCCGGACGACGAGGGCCGGACGCCTCTCCAGTTGGCCGTGGCGAGTCTTCAGCCGCGCCTGGTAATGATACTCCTGGCTCGTGGCGCTAGTCTGTCCAAATTCGTCTTTCCCAGCGAGGAGTACTTCGGCGCCGACGTCGTCGCGCTCGAGCATCCCTACCATCGCGACGCCTTCAAGCTGAGACTGGCCGCCGCGGCTCTGGTCACCCTGGAGCTGCTCGAGCGCTGGGGCTACGAGCTGAGGCTCGCCGACGCCCTGACGATCATGAGATTCTTCGACAGGCACGGACTGTTCGAGACGAGATCGGCTGCGGCGGCGGCGGTGCGCAGATTCGACTATCTCTGGTACAGGGACGAGCCAGCAGCGCGACGGAGTACAGCGACGACAAACGATCGGCGTCTGTCGTCGTCGTCACGGCCCAAACGCGCGCTGCGACGACCGATTCCGTCGAGGATGAAACGCACGGACGCGAAACCGCGACGACGACGACGAGTCGCTGATAACGCGCCGCGCATCATGATAAATCGGCGCGTGTCGCTGTACAATCTGCTCCGGTCGAGGCCCACCAAACGCGCGGCAACGAAACGCAGAGTCACGTACGCGGACTACTACGCGTTCGCGAGCTCGGAAAAGCTGTGGCACCTCGTGCCGAGAAGGCGGCGAGCAGGAGCTTGCGCGGCTCTGCGTCTGTGCGAGATCATGTCGAGGAGCTTCTTCAGCGGCTGGGCGGTGCGCTGCTTGATGAGCTTCAGGCTGTCTTACGATGCCTGCGAAATGATCGTGAACCGGTTGACGGAGAATCAAAATATGTGGCGTATTTGCGAGGCGGCGGTCTCTTAATGAGTCATTAAGCTTGTATAAATAATATATACATTGGTCACTGTAGTTATCGCAAAAAATGAAGATATAATCTTGTCGAGATTCGATACCTCTGTTAGAACAGGTACCACAGTTGTAATGTAATTTAGCTATCCGAATCAGGACGAATGAATAAATATAACGTAATTAATTATGTAATTTGCTTGGACTTTAACTTTTTTGTCTTTGATATCATTTAAGTTTTGTTTATAGGTAATTGTAGAGAAGTTTGATCGTAGAAAAATAAGATTTGTACATTTATAAACTGCATAGTTGAAAAAAACCTCAAACATTCAGTTTTAATTTAATGTCAGACATTAAACAGATGCTGATCAAAAAATTAAAATGAATTATTTTTTATAAATGAACGAGCGAGAAATATTTTAAACTTTTTAATTGAAAATTAATGATTCAATATTCATCGAGTATTAGCGCGTATAAATACTAATTTATGAAAACTCAAGTATGAGTAAAGCCAACCTCCATCGCTAGATGGTGAGTAACTTTGTCTGTGAATCCTCAAGTGGCAAGGTGAAGATAATTGTATAAATTGGCTGTGAAATTTTCTGAGTAAACGAATTAAAAATGAATGAAAATTAATTAATCCAAAACAAATATCTGTATTTTTGTATTATACTATGCAAAATTAGTGAATCGCATGGAATAAAACAGATCATATGGCTTGTTAAAAAAATTAATGGATAAGAGTTTTTTCAAATCGTCACACTTTCAGAGACATTATTTAATGATTATAGATAGACAACAATGAAACAACGTAGGATAAAGATAATTGTATAATCTGAAATAAGAAGCAGTTATACGAAAAAATAAAATTGTCAAAATATGTGTTTCTACTGATATTCATAACTACCTGCCGACTCGTTTCAAAATTCAAAAATTTACTTGGCCCAATTCTAATACATGAAGGCCTACTGGATCTTATTAGTATGAGTTGCATCATTTTCCTCGTTTGTATCGAGTACTTATACCAATCGGTGGAATAACTGTTAGAGACAAAAAGAGCCAAAAAGTTTAAATTAACACGAAAGAAATAATAATTCATCTTTACCAGTCTTCAAAAATGTCACTGCTGGCATCGTATATTTTCTGCGACGGATAACTCGCAGTAAGCAAAGCTTCAACACACAATATGTACATGGTACCCATTTTTAGAGCAATGTTTATATCTTCTTTATATTCAATTACCATCTAAAATTAGGAGGGGGAAAATTAGGATGTTACTAATGAAATTTTGCTTTACAATCAAGTTTGAAATCGTACCAAATAGCTTGTGATGCTGAGGCCGACGATTACCGTAAATATTGCAGGGACTAATATACAGCTAGTAACTGTATTAAGTAAATCGAAGCAACTATCAAGAAAAAAATTAAATAAATTAAGTGAGATAATTCTTAACATTATCACTTAACTGGATACAATATTGATGCAGTTGAACCAGTTGAGAGACATGTTTAAAAACTTCGTCATCTTTTTTCAAAAAATCTTCTGTTTGTGACAAATTGGAGATTTGTTTCAACTTGATCCTAAATTACAAGAATGACTTGATTAATTTTCATTGAGTATGAATAAGTTACAAAAATTGATAAATAAGTACCCCATGAATCGAAATTTTCCTATTACGTATGTTAGGACACAAACGTAAAAAATGGCAATACCTGATTCAAACGCAATTGTTATAAAGCATAGTATTACAATAATAATAAAAAAATAGTAAAAGTGTGTGTCCTCGTCTACAAATAATTCCAAGTGAATAGATAACTTTTTCTGATACGTATGATTTCCAGATAAAATTAAATTTGCTGTAACTGGCCATAATGTTGGAATAACAATTAAATACGTACTATAGGTAACAATTAAGAGACCTAAAAAATAATTGAATTCTCCATTTAATACATATGGCCGATTCTCTGTGAAGTCGAATGGTCAAAAAAATTTTTTTCCTGCAAATATGAAAAACTTGTATTTGAAGTCAGATTTGTCCCAAAAAATGTTTAGAAAAATTGGGGCCTTCTATGTCACTTTTTCAGAGGCCCAAAGTTGGCCATTTTAGGGTTTTTTTTTTGAAATTCATGAAAAACCACAAATACTAGCCCGACTTTCATCTCGCTGCGCTCGCCTTTTTCTGGCTTTTTCAACTTGACTTTTTTTTAAATAAGTTAAATATAATTTTATTCTACAATTAACTTGTCGCGATTTACTGATCCGAGTCCTATTGGCAAGTAACGTCGTGGCTTGTAACGACAGTCCAACTCCGCTGCTGCCGCTTAAGCACGCCCAAAGAGGTTAGTTATGACACATTGCGCGGTGCCACTAATGCTTTCCGCTGGACGACCAATCACAGCGCGAATAAACTGCTATCGCTAAAATCCCCACCACCTTTCTAAAAGAGGACTCAATTAATTCCTGAATCAGGGTAGGATGATTCAAAAGTAAAAGTGCCCAGCAACTTTTTTGTTGGAAATTGTCCAAATTTTCAGAAAAAAAAGTATACCAAAGTGATTGGAGCCACCTCAAGACGTATAGAGTGGAAAAGACTTGCCTAAAATCACCAAAAACACCCATTTTCAGAACTTTTTTGCATGTTTTTCGACACATATTGTTGTCTACATTGCGCTACACTGTAAGACACATTACAAAACTCTATCAGGCAGTATTTGACATCTTCAGAAAGCTTTTTACAGTTTTGGATATGAAAGTCCGGTTCAAACTCGATTAGATTTTTTGTTTTGTGTTTTTTTCAAGTCTTTTCGACTCTATACGTCTTTAGGATGCTCCAATTACTTTGGTATACTTTTTTTCTGAAAATGTGGACAATTTCCAACAAAAAAGTTGCAAGGCACTTTTACTTTTGAATCATTCTACCCTCATCCAGGAATTGTTTGAATATTTTTGATTTTTCATGAATTTCAAAAAAACCCTAAAATGGCCATCTTTGGGCCTCTGAAAAAGTGTCATGGAAGACCCCGATTTTTCTAAAATTTTTTTGGGACAAATCTGACATCAAATACAATAAGTTTTTCATATTTGCAGAAAAAAATTTTTTTTGGCCATTCGACTTCACAGAGAATCGGTCATATTTATATAATACATATAATTTAATTTTTTAGTACAAACCTGTAATTATGAGAGAAGCGAGATTAGCTATATTAATGTAATTTTGCAGAAATTTTTTTTCCTCGGAACTACATTGAAACAAATTCTTTATCATAATAAATAATAGTCCTCTAGCCTTTGTAAATTATAGAAATTAAATAAAAGAAAAATAATTTGAGTAATTGAAAAACAATTTTTTCATACATCAACATTTGATAGAAATAGTATATTACTGCCCTAGGTCGATAAGCCGAGGCGATAGCCGAGGCCGATAAACACGTGCTCTGGGGCTTTCTTTTTTCGCGGCATAGGCCTGTATACTATTTTTCATGCACAGTGACCCGAAAATCGCTCTTCCCGCTTTGCGCAGCAGCAGGGAAGTAGTCACTTTCGGGCCGCTGGAATGAAAATTATATTTAATTGTTTTTACCGTCAACACTCCTCTTTCTTCCACAATTAAAAAGTATATGCCGGAAGTAACGAAACATTGTATAAGAAATTGAACGCATAATTCCGTTGCCAAATCCATGTCGAATTTGGCATTTTTTGTTATTCGTGCTATGTAAAAAACCTGCAAATGAAAATCAACTCATATGGTATTCACAGTTAAATTGATGTGCTAGGGCTCCTTTGCCTTCAAAATGAAAACATGGATAATTCAAGTTTTAACACTGGTGTGTCCCTTTAATTTTATTTTTAAATATTACCGTGGATATGATGAATAAAACGAAAAACACAAATGACACTCGTGCTCCATATTTTTTTATGTCAATCCAGAATGGCCATATAAGCGAAACCTTTAGTACAGGTATGAGTAAAGGATATATTTTTCTAGTACATTTTTCAAGATCTGATATATCGGATTTTGATAAATGTTTTAGTTCGTTTATTTCAATCCTTTTCTGCAAAACAATTGGCAAATATTGTGCCATGATTTTTATATCAATCAAAAATGAACACTAAAAATTATCAAGAATTCGTTGTTCAGATTCCAACAGAATATAGTTCAAGAATTTTTACCATTGTACCTGCTCATTGTTGTTGAATTATCTTATATCAATTTTTCTCTTTATTGGAAAAGCTTTTGTAAATTATTCCATACTATTGTGTAAATTCACAATAAAAGCATAATATACGTAATCGGTTATATTTGCGTACAAGTATTATTTTTCACGGGAAATTACCAGAGTCTCAAAGTCCAGTGCAGGGTCGAACGTACTACAATGATTTGATGTTTGTATGACTTTTTTTTGATCTACTCCAATATTACCGATTGATGTTAGGAAGGGAAGAAACACAATGGATTGAAATAATATTAAATTTTAATTTTATTATTCTCACTTGAAATATACGCTGATACAATTGCAATACACATAACTAAGATAACACTTCTTGTACACACTTACATTAATATTAACGATTATGTTTATATAGGTTTTAATAATTATAATATTAAGTTTTCTGGGTAAAAGAATAAAAAATCGTCAGTTCTTGAATCGGTAGAATTCGTTCAGTTGTACACTAATATTAATGAAAAAATTACGACAACGTGAATTGAAACTCCAACAAATGTCTGTATTTTTTTTTAATATGCAAAATTAGTGAATCGCATGGAATAAAACCGATCCTATGGCTTGTTAAAAGAAATTAATGGATAAGAGTTTTTTCAAATCGTCACACTTTCAGAGACATTATTTAATGATTATATATAGACAACAATGAAACAACGTAGGATAAAGATAACTGTATAATCTGAAATAAGAAGCAGTTATACGAAAAAAATAAAATGGTCGAAATATGTGTTTCTACTGATATTCATAACTACCTGTCGACTCGTCTCAAAATTCAAAAATTTACTTGGCCCAATTCTAACACATGAAGGTCTACTGGATCTTATTAGTATGAGTTGCATCATTTTCCTCGTTTTTATCGAGTACTTATACCAATCGGTGGAATAACTGTTAGAGACAAAAAGAGCCAAAAAGAGCCAAAAAGTTTGAAATTAACACGAAAGAAATAATAATTTCGATTCTTTATCGTCATCTTTACCAGTCTTCAAAAATGTCACTGCTGGCATCGTATATTTTCTGCGACGGATAACTCGTCGTAAGCAAAATTTCGACACATAATATGTAAATGATACCCATTTTTAGAGCAATGTTTATATCATCTTTACATTCAATTACCATCTAAAATTAGGAGGGAAAAATTAGGATGTTACTAATTAAATCTTGCTTCATAGTTAAGTTTGGAATCGTACTAAATAGCCTGAGACGCTGAGGCCGACGATTACCGTAAATATCGTAGGGACTAATATACAGCTAGTAACTGTATTGAGTAAATCGAAGCAGCTATAATCGGAAAAAAAATGAAATACATTTAAGCGAGATAATTCTTAACGTTATCACTCAACTAGATACAATATTGATGCAGTTGAACCAGTTGAGAGACATGTTTCAAAACTTCGTCATCTTTTTTAAAAAAATCTTCTGTTTGCGACATATTGGAGATCTGTTTCAACTTGATCCTAAATTACAAGAATGACTTGATTAATTTTCATTGAGTATGAATAAGTTACAAAAATTGATAAATAAGTACCCCATGAATCGAAATTTTCCTATTACGTATGCTAGGACACAAACGTAAAAATTGGCAATTCCTGATGCAAACGCAATTGTTATAAAGCATAGTATTACAATAATAATAAAAAAATAGTAAAAGTGTGTGTCCTCGTCTACAAATAATTCCAAGTGAATAGACAACTTTTTTTGATACGTATGATTTCCAGATAAAACTAAATTTACTGTAACTGGCCATAATGTTGGAATAACAATTAAATACGTACTATAGGTGATAATTATGAGACCTAAAAAATAATTGAACTCTCCATTTAATACATATGTATTTAATACATATAATTTAATTTTTTAGCATAAACCTGTAATTATGAGAGAAGCGAGATTAGCTATATTAATGTAATTTTGTAGAAATTTTTTTTCCTCGGAACTACATTGAAACACATTCTTTATCATAATAAATAATAGTCCTCTAGCCTTTGTAAATTATAGAAATTAAATAAAAGAAAAATAATTTGATTAATTGAAAAACAATTTTTTCATACATCAATATTTGATAGAAAATTATAATTGATTGTTTTTACCGTCAACACCCCTCTTTCTTCCACAATTATAAAGTACATGCCGGAAGTAACGAAACATTGTATAAGAAATTGAACGCATAATTCCGTTGCCAAATCCATGTCGAATTTGGCATTTTTTGTTATTCGTGCTATGTAAAAAACCTGCAAATGAAAATCAACTCATATGGTATTCACAGTTAAATTGATGTGCTAGGGCTCCTTTGCCTTCAAAATGAAAACATGGATAATTCAAGTTTTAACACTGGTGTATCCCTTTAATTTTATTTTTTAATATTACCGTCGATATGATGAATAAAACGAAAAACACAAATGACACTCGTGCTCCATATTTTTTTATGTCAATCCAGAATGGCCATATAAGCGAAACCTTTAGTACAGGTATGAGTAAAGGATATATTTTCCTAGTACATTTTTCAAGATCTGATATATCGGATTTTGATAAATGTTTTAGTTCGTTTATTTCAATCCTTTTCTGCAAAACAATTGGCAAATATTGTGCCATGATTATTTATATCAATCAAAAATGAACACTAAAAATTATCAAGAATTCGTTGTTCAGATTCCAACAGAATATAGTTCAAGAACTTTTACCATTGTACTTGCTCATTGTTGTTGAATTATCTTATATAAATTTTTCTCTTTATTGGAAAAGCTTTTGTAAATTATTCCATACTATTGTGTACATTCACAATAAAAGCATAATATATGTAATCGGTTATATTTGCGTACAAGCATTATTTTTCACGGGAAATTACCACAGTCTCCAAGTCCAGTGCAGGGTCGAACGTACTACAATGATTTGATTTTTGTATGCCTTTTTTTTAATCTACTCCAATATTACCGATTGATGTTAGGAAGGGAAGAAACACAATGGTTTGAAATAAATGAAAAAACACAAAACCAAGAAAACACTTCTTGTACACACTTACATTAATAGTAACTATAATGTTCATATAGGTTTCAATAATTATAGTTATTTAAATAATACTTGGATGATCATAGAAAAAATATAGCCATGTTGGGTTTATTAATAAGAATAATTTGTTCTATAATAAAAGAAAGAAAGAAGGAGAATATAAACGAATTGAACGTTAAAAATCGATCCTCAGATGTTGAAGAACAACAGTTAAAAGTTAACAACAGTTAAAAGAAATTTTTTTTGTTGTAATAATTTCCATAAATATATCTTTAAATTGCTTGAACTTTAATTTTTTTGTGAAATTTTGTCAAAGTTCCATTTTACGCATCTCCCTTGCAATTTTTTTTTGTTCGGGCACGATAATTGAATTATGACATACCTCTGTCCTACGTGCATTAATTTGTAATAACAATATTTATAAATATGCTTGACTCTGAACATCGTCGAGGTGATGAAATTACTACTGTCAGCTGGGTATAGACTGGAGTTTTACACGAAACTCCGGATGCTCAAGAATTAGCTGAGAGCACGAGGAAACGGTACCGACCATTTCATTCCCTTGGAAAGTTCAGACAAAGATGACGATGGCCAGTGAACGTATTGCACAATTGTGGATAATATTTGTATTCAGGAGCAATTTGGTTTTTATCTGAAAGAAGAAGCTGCGGATTATTTACAAGAACAAAGAAAACAATGTAGATCAAAACTGCCTGAGGTCATGCCAGAGCATTGACCGTGGTCAGGACAGATCGAGAGATGGGAGCAACAAATTGCTGAGTTGGAGGGCATTAAGCTGAACAACGACATTTCGCTTTATAAAATTTGTCAGTTAAGTTACGACGAAGGTTACTCGATTTTGAAAAAAATAAAGAATTGGAGCTTGCCTTTGCTTCGAGGCCTACATCACGAAGCCATGAATCTCGTGGTAAAAATGCCCCTGGCAAACATTCTGATAAGGCCACATCTGGAAATGTTCGTAGCCGATCTTTTTACGGATGATTATTGCCAATCGCGTCTGCCGTATGTCGTTCGTCGTATGCTCGATGAAAAAATGGACCGCGCGGATCTACTTCGTCTGTGCGAACAAACGGATGAAAATTTAGAATTGTAACTTTAATAAAACTTTCGTTCACTCAGGTTTTAAATAATTCACGATAATTTCCGATAAGTTCAATGAACAAAGCAAATCAGAGACGAGAAGTACGAGCAGAAAAGACACGATTTTTAATGGAAAGACTATAAGAAATTTTAAACATATCTCACTTGTACCCTTTGATTCCAATTGAGCACAATATATTACCTACATTACTTAAAAATTAACACGACTTGATAAATAATAATTCGTTTTTTAAGGGTTAAAACTTCTTTGTGTTCTCTACGCACGTAAGGAAGTTTCCCTTCAAAGAAATTCACCCGTGCACGAGGTAATACAAGGTAGATGGTAATCGACACTTGTATATAGCGGCTAAGAAATCAAGATCATCGATCGGTTGCCTCGCGGCGTCGCTCAGTCGACGCATACATACATATAATGAATTGAATCCAAATAAGAAGCCCGACTCGTGCATCGTGTACTACCCTTTCTCCCGAAAGCACGTACATACGATTGGCTCGATCTTGCGGTTCCTCTCACCCTGTGGCCGAAAATAAAATCGTTACTCTCTCTCTCTCTCTCGTGCATAACATTATGTATTAAAATCTGCATCGCGGCATCTTTGCAGCTGCCGCAGACTCGCACGCATACACACATACGTATGATATTTACCCACGCCGGCCAAGTTTCAAGGCAATTCGAAGAGAGCGTGAAAATCAGCGAATCACGTGGCTTCGGGCGGCCTCTCACTGTGTATATATTTATTAAATGTAGAACATGTAACATCTCCTCTCTCTCTCTCGCTCTCACACTTTCAGAAGCACTGCCTCTGAGCTTTTTCACGCGGTAGCGTCTCGCGCACAGTCGGTGGTTGCGTTGCGTCGGCGGCGCATTCGACACATCGAGAGTTAGCTGTCTGTCTGTCTGCTGCTGCTGTGGCGGCTGATTCTTCGGTGAACAATAAAAACGCATTCATTTATACGGTTAGTAATTAACCTTCTATTTCGTAAAACGTTAAAATTTCATTGGGCTTTTTTTCGAATTGGAGGAAAAATTTTACTTTACTTTTTGCTGATAAAACTACAAGTGCTGTGAAAGATTGTGTACGTGTACCTGTGTATGTGTGGTGAAGCTTTGTCGGGTGTTTTTGTCAGTTAAATCGTGACGGATCGATTATTTTGACGCGTGCGAATGTATTATAAGTACACACACACACGAGCGATAAAAATAAAATATGTTTCTCATGGTTGTCGGACGATAAGAGCTGCTAAATTTAAAAATTGGAGCCAACGTTTTTTCTTTCCTTTTTGATTTTCTCAGTCTCAAGGTGGATCGTAGATAATACGTTGCATAAGGTTTCTAGCGCAGACGCGATAATAATAAAGCTCGGCATTGCTAAGTCTGCAACTAAGTCAAACTTTATCTTGCTGGGTTCAAAGTTCGACGCAGCGTATATTATAGCGATGAGCGCTAGTTTTTGCCCGTAATATTTATCGCGAGCTTAAGAAATAGCATAATAACGTAGACACACATGCGCATCCGAATGCAACATTATGCAAAAACGACTCTGCCGAGACGTTAATAGACGCGTTAAAGGCAAAAAACCACTTTGTTCACAACTGCAAAGATGGATTTTATTTTTGGCCCGCGCAACGTGCCGTGTGTATTTTGTGTGTTATATAGCTCGGGCATGCTCTAACGCTGGCTTTGGAGGTTTTTTATTAATAGAAATTATAATACTGTACTCGTGCACGTACGGACTCGTATGTAGGTGAAGCACACGTGTGTTAGTGGGTTAACTTCTGTGCGTGTGTGTGTGTGCAAAATTATATACCACACACGAGTTCGCACGAGTTTTATATGCACTACATAGACAATGTAATTAATGCATTCGGCAATGTATCTCGCTGGGGGCTCGTATCAGCTGATGCAGCAGAATGTGCAAAGTCGGTATTTTTTTCTTCTTCTTCGGCTCTTTATTTCCTTCTTGTTTTACTCTCTCGCGTTTCGTTCGAGACACAATGCAATATTGATTACAATATATAAACTTTCAGCGCATTTCAATTCGTACGTTATAACGTATCGATCTTGATGCCGGCGATGACAATCGTCACGTGTGAGATTGATGTCTGCGCACAGGTTTATATCGTTCGATTAATATTTACAAAGAAATAAAGAAAAAAAAGTTGCACTCGAGAAGGAATCGAGTGTATATGGCGCGACCGATATTATATTATGTGCCGAGAGTATCGAGTGCGCGGGTGTTGTTTATCGAGCTATTAAATGTCATGCTCGATTATGTGCGTGCGTGTTGTACGCGTGATTTTTAACAAACACTTGTCGTTAATTCTTTTTTCTTTAAAAAAAAAAATCATAATTAAATGCGTAGATGCTTCGTTAATTTTTAAAAACTTCCTGGGCAAAAACTAGTCCAACCGGTTACCACCGCGTGTTCACTCCTATATAGGCTAAATTGACTATTTTCGTTTGAGCTCAGACAAAAAAAATCAAGATGAATAGATAAATATTTATCCGTACCGATTTTGGCGAAAATTCGCGCGATGATTCTGCATAATTAGTGTTCTCCGCTCGAGAGATAACATCGATCCGAGTGCTGCCTCTCGAATTGTGCGATAGGGATAATATTTTGCTCTAAATTTTAATAATATTGCTCTTATCCGCGATCGTGCGCGTCTGTGCGCGCGAGCGAGCTTCAATTATATATGCAGACTTTTTCGAGACGAGAGACATTGATTTATCGCTGCGTACTCGCGCGCGCGCGCGTGTGTGTGACCTCATCGCACGCAGTTCGATTAATAACGTCTATATTATTATATATTATTCGTGCTTTTTTGTGTGCCACTTCGAGAGCTTATAGCTTAGCTATGAGTACGAGAAAAACGAAGAGTAACGATACTTCCTATTTTTCAACGGATCGGATAGTAAATGTCACGAGTACGCCGTCTTTATCGTATTGAACGCGATACAGAAGTAGATCGTTTACTAGTGTGGGTTATTTTATCGCGGTTAAAGATTGTTTATTATAACTTACGCAATGCGTCCTAAATGAAGTTCAGAACGCCGAAACTCCCTTAAGAATTTAATTCGGGACAATGAGAATGTGAACTTTTTAACTCGATTACGGGTGCATTTAAAAAGAGACATGTTTTTTATCTGATGATAGCGATAAGTCTGAAGCATCGATTACAATTGCAATTAAACAATATATTTGTCATTTATAACTTTATTAAATTACTCAAATAGAAAATGTCAAACAGTGTTGAAAAAATTCAAACATCGGCGGAAGAATATAGTTCAGAACGAAGATAGGAATTTTTTTCAATAAATTTTTCATGACGCGATTACCTTTTATTCGTTTTGCAACTGCAAGCAAAGGCACTTCAGTGAAAATTAGCTCTATCGGGGCATATGGTGCTTCCATATGTCTCTGTCTCTATTTTCTTGATAACTTTAAACCGTAGTTAAGTTCTTGATAACTTTAAACTCATAAGAGTTTTAAAATACGATCGTTGACGTACATTATTGACTTTTACACAATAAAAGTGATCTCGTGTGTTGAACACGCTGATAAAAAACTGTAAATTTAGTACAGAATTTAAAATATTAGACATTCAAATAAAAGTACTAAATTTTACTAAACGTACGTGTATTTTTACGTATAAATCTTCGTTGGGAATTTATGTGTCAATAATAATTAATTTTTTTAGTAATGTAATACACCAACAATTTCTGAAATTCAATCAGATATTTAAGCCTTATAAAATATTTTTAATTATCAAAAGATTCATGAAAGTTCGATCATATTTAAAGTCAGCATCACCAACTAGATGGCGAGTACCTTTATCTGCAAGTGGAAAAGTAAAAAAGATGGTATATTAAGTGTGATTTTGACTAGAATTCTTAGAAAAAGATTTTTTTCTAATTGTTTTTTTTAGTTAAAAATTCTGATATCAATTGAAAATTGAACAATTTTTTAGAGTAAAAGTAGGTTTAAATTTTAACGTTAAAAATTGTTTAATGATTCAATATTATTATAAATTTATTAAACCGCGTACAAAATACTTTGAAGTTCCAATAATTACAATTATGCAATTACAAAAATACACTTGGATTGTTAACGATTCACACGACGGTTCACGCGTACTCGATGATTTCCCCAATGAGCTCGAGCACCATATCCTTGTAATCGGGATGTTCGTCCATGAGCTTCATCACCAACTCGTCTCGTTTGCCGAAGACGATGCCCATACCCGCATCCCCGCTGTCCATATCGTCGGAGTTCTCGATCTCGAGAATCTGAGTTATAGGCCTATCGACCATCGCGTGCACCATACCGATGAGTCTCATGTCCTCGTACTCTGCCACGATGTACTCGAGGCTCGGTGGCTCGATCGTCGGCTCGTTTTCTCGCAGAGCACTGCACAACTCCTTGTGATAGTGTCGCAGCGTATCTTTTTCGATCTTTCTCCTCTCGTCTTTTCTGGTGGCCAAGTAAAGCAGAGTGGCCACGTCGGAGGTCGCGGGCGCGTAGCGAACCATCTGAAAGTCCACCAGTGCGCATCTCGGCAGCGGAGCAGCTTCGTCGAACAGGCAATTGTAGGCCCAGGTGTCGCCGTGACAGACGACGTTGCGCCACTTGCCGTCGCGCGACGGTGCGGCCTTTTCGAACACCGCGCCGCAGACTCGGCCGATGCGGGCGTGGTCCAATCCGTGCCTCTTGGCCACCGCCACCGCCGCCTCGACTCCGTACGTGTACCAATCGTAGAACTTGGTCGTTCTCGTCCAAACTGCCTCTTGAAAGACTTCCGGATACAGCTCGAGGAAGGATTTGCCCAATTTTTTCTCGGCGATCATGGCCGACGCGTGCATGAGGGCCAAGGTTTTGATAGCCGATTTCATGTGCAAACCGCTCAAGCTCATTCCCTTCAATTCGAAATTTTTGTCCTTGAGATTGTCGAGGATCAGCACGTATTCTTTGGCCAAGTAACACAGAGCACTCCAATGTTTGTCCTTGATGCTCTCCATCAATTTCGGCAGCACGGATTCGTAAAATTTCGACTCTTTCACGAACAATTTGCAATTTTCGATCATCGCCACTTGCACCGGTATGTCGTACGGTAGAGTTTTCACGAACAATCGAAGAGTCGATTTTTCACCGTTTCTCGTCGCTTCGATATGCAAAAATTGATGCGCACCGGCGAATCCCACTTTATCGCCGGACATAGATTTGAGACTGTAATCGACCAATTGAGCGCCCGATCCGAGGGCATTATGCACGGCTTGCTGCACATCGTCGCGACTCAAGAGAGTGTTTGTTTCGTTTTCACTCATGTTGCAAATGTTTTATTTTTTATTTTTCGGATATGTACTATCGATTGGAGAATTTAAAACGCACTAAAGTTTCACGCTGCAAACGAATCCTATTTATGACGACGACGGGTTTGATAAGATTAAATTACACAAGGAAAATAATGAATTGTCATCGGTGTGCAAGCACTTGACTGACTGACGAGCCTCCCTCGATGATAATTCGTCAGAAATAGTTGAAAAATTAACAGCACTAAGACATTGGAAAGAGACACACCCAAAAAGAGAATATTTATCAGCTCAATTGAAACTAGATACCGTGACTAAAAAGCGAGATGTAAATTACAATTCGTATAAAAACTACTATAGATTGCCGTGTTTGTTCATTCGCGATCACGAGAACGAGATAGACTCTGATTAGAGGATTGCACGTGTAATAAAATGTGACGTATAGAAACATCGACGAAAATATTTTTGTCTGTCGTTGAGCGGTTCGAATATAGATGGCGCATAGAGCAGTTCTAGTGGGATTCTTTACATAAATTAGATAATCTACTTTTTTAGATAAACATTTACGTATGTGTGGCATATGTCATTTGATATTTAAAAAAGCTACTGTTTATTCATATCCAGTCAGTTTCCTTATAAAACGTGGTAAATCTCATATTTTCTCTCGAAAAATATAATTTTTTAATGCTAATTTTAAATCATAAAAAATGATGGGTATGAGCCCTTCACGAAAGAACCTTAGAGCACGAGTTTACCAGTCCTATTCATGTTTTATACTCAATTGAAAATATAATCTCACGATAATTTTTTCATCAAAAATCTAACAAATGAGACTTCTTTTAGTATTCTCTTTTAATATAGAAAAATCGTTGAACTCAAATCAAAATTATAAACTTTTTTTCCGACGCGCATTTTTATGTAGCACACTTGCGCGAGGTAATTTCGAAAATTCGCGCTCTCGCGCGCGAAACACCCGCAAAATATATTTTCGGGCGAGCGCCGGCGCACCACCACCCCCTTTTGTCTGTGAGTCACGGACTCACAGGTCACAGACAGCAGACGACGACAACGACGCTCGCCCGGCCAGACGCACAGCTAACACCCTCTCAGCTGCTGTTTCGTTTTCGTCTCTGTCTTTCTCGTCGGCGATATTTTGAGCTCGAAGCTTTGGGTAAAGAAAAACAAAAAAGAATAATAATTTTTTTCTCATCTTTCCTGTCCTCTATCTTCTTTCGTTCGATCCACCGTCGTGTCGATCCAAACACACCGAAATCGTCCGCACGAGTGAACCGGAATAATCTGCCCCAGAGTTATGTATCGCGTTTGATACACGAATTGGTTGTGTGTGGCGGAGGTATATACCATCGATCCGATTTCGTCGCGCGATATACATATTGTACGCTCGAGTGTGCGCGTGTGCTTCGGTGCGTTTGTGTATATGAACTGCATATATACAGAGGAATAGTGACGCGCGCACACGTCAATTATAACACACATACACACACGTACACACACGCGTTATAATACAATCCCCCCGTGTACTACTTCAAAACACCAGTGTGCGATAAGAGTACAGTAGAATCTAGAGTTTAACCTGTCAAAAACGTAGTAAATAAGACATTTAAAAGTCAGCAACGAATAAACACTGATTTCCTTGTCGGCAGGTACATATTATCACCGACTCGCAAACGATACACGTTAACAGCATAGCAGCAGGGGCACGTCAGCAGCTTCGCAAATCGAATCTCCATCTCTCGCGCACAGAGATCCCTGGCGATATATATCACTCGCCTACTACTACTACACGCCATACATCGAAGCGTATCCAGCATGTCGAAGTCGCGGGGCAGCGGCGCGGCAGCGCGCACCACGCAATACATGCTGCTGCTGCTTCATCGCGGCGGCGGCGGCGGTAGCAGTAGCGGCTGCTGCAACACGAGCAGTAGTCCATCAACAGCTACGGCGATAGTTAGTCGTCGGTGCGCCACGGCGCCGAGCAGAAGCATCGTTAATAACAAATTCGATCGTCGCTCGTCAACGTTGTTACCGTCTACGTCCAGTTGTTCGAGCCAACGGCAACAGCAACGAAACATCAGCAACAATTCCAGCGACAGCAGTAACATCGACAGAAGAGGAAGAGTCAACATGACTGGTGGCACGAGGATAATCATAAGGGACGCGGCGACGCAGTGCGCGCCAGCCCAGAAGGTCCTCACCATGGACAACGTCTACGACAATCTCGTGAAGATGGAGTACGCCGTGAGGGGGCCGCTGCTGATCAGGGCGCTGGAGATCGAGAAGGAGCTTCAGAAGGTTAGCAACAACGTTAAAACTTTTCCTCTCTTTTTAAGCTCGTTTTCAACGAGCTATTGCATTGATATTATGTGTGCGTCGTTTGCTCGGTCGGTCGGTGTGTCTCGCGGGGTGACGACGCGCAATTGTAAAAAAAAAAAGCTCTCGCGCGCAGATATACGCGTTCGCGCTTACGCGTGGTGTATAGTATAGACGACGCGATCGGAGCTTGCGGGAGCACCGTATATTTACGTTGGCATGCGGACGCGATGACTTTTTCAATCGACAGTTTCAAGTATCAACATTTTAATTTAAAACTTTTGGCTTTATGCGTGCGACGTTGGTATACGCGTACACGCCTCTGCTCGTGCGTATGGAAACTACCCCCGTCTGCTGTACCGTGTAATAATGCAAAAACTCCCCCCGCGTTCTCGCGTACAAAGAAAAAACGTTCGTTACCGAAATGGCGTAGCGCTTACGTCCTATATCGTAATGTGCGTCGCGTTGTGTTGCTGTTTTTTTTTTTTTTTTTTTTACATTTTTCTCGCTTCGTTTCGTCGAGTTTCCTCTTTTGCTTTTTTTTCTTCTTTTTTTTTTGTTTTAAACACACTCTTGCAAAAAGTTGCCTGTCTCGAGCGTACGCAACTTCCAACCGTTGTCAGCCCGTGTCTATATACGTGTCGAGCCTCTCTCGCGTCGTATACGTACTCGGCCATTCAACGATGTTATTGTTTTCGCACGCTTCGTACGCGTACATGTTTATGTATGTATGATAGCTCTCGATCTACATCGCGTACTAATACGTAGCATATAGTAGGACATATTAATTAAGTGGTCTCGCGAGTGTCCGAGCGCTGCTCATTTATCAACACACACACACACTCGAATCAACTCGTACTATTATGTACCGTAACTCGTTACAAAAATTGCTCCTCTTTTTTTCCGCGTAGTAGCGAAGCCTGCCTGTCTGTCCGTATATACGTGCGTCGCGTCACGCGCGTGTACCATATCCCGTATATAATTCAGGACACATGCTATAGGCATACGTGCATGTTTGTACGTAGTCAAAATCATCTATAGTCGATGCAGACGAGGCTTTTGTTTCGACAAAAGCTCGATATCGAGGGCCTATTATACTATCCACGAAAACGAGATTACGTTTGGGCAATTTTTTCTACTATCTCTCTCAAGGGTCGCGATTGATTTTCCGTCGTATTACAACAAAAAGAGTCGGAGGCCTGTCGACGGGATAAAGGAACGAGCGAGAGAGAGACAGAGACAACCGGTCGATGATTCGCACGCCCACGAGAGAGAAGCGAGCTTTATATACGTAATCGTGTCTCGCGCGCGCGTTCGAGATAAGATATACATATATGCCATGCTCCCGCGAATACAGAGAGAGAGAGAGAGAGGATGCAACGCAACGATGACGCGCGCCTCGGTACCTTTTTTTTTGTCTCGTGTATACGTATGATTTTCGTCTGTATATAATCATCTTTGAACCAAGAACGCGTAATTATCAAGACGGAGACACGCGAAAAAAAGGAAGTTCGTTCAACTTTTGCTCGAGGAAGAGGCGCACAGCTGCTGCTGCTGCTGTCGCTATTATATATGCAAGCACGCGCGCGTGACTCCTCCAACGCTGCCACCGCGTGCAAAGTGCGTCTGTATGTATACAATTTATTCGAGGTATGCGATGTGATGTAAAAAAAACGAAAGAGACAGAGAGAGAGAGAGAGAGAGAGAGAGAGAGAGACGGAAATGTAAGCGAGTTTTTGTGCTCGCAATGCACTGTGCACTACGACAAAACTTTATGCAGGCATTTCGTTCACGATTCCTTTTTCGGTGTCGGTCGGTCGACGCATCGTCTGTCTCTGTGCTCGAAAACGAGTACATTGCCTTATACAATTCATCGTCGTAAGTATGAGCTATCGATGTATGTGCAATTTTTCCATCGCATGGTACGAGTTAGATGCCTCGTCGTGTTGATACAGCACGATTGGTTTACGATTCTTCGTGAAATGCCACCAGCGAATCGCTCAGAGATTACGAGTGTGTGTGTATATACAATCTTACGCAATAGATTTAAAATGAAATAGTTTTGTTGACTTATCGAATTGAGGTTTATACAATACGTGACGAGCTATATCCTACTAATGTTTCGTTGAATGACGATAATTTCGCGGGCTCGACGAAACTATCGAATTCACCTTTACATTTGTATGCACGAGACACACCGCGACTTTTAGTTGACATTATATCGATTTACGATTGCGCTCCCGGTGTGCGGATATAATAATAACATAAAAAAGAAGAAAAAGAACCCGGTCACACATCGCGTTATATTAATATATAGTTTATGAGCTTAAGGCTCGCTGCTGAGCGTTTATCGACCGTGGAAAGTTTTTTCCTCCAACTTTCCGTACGTATGACTTATATTTTACTTGACGCATACATATACGCACGTAGTACTTTTTAATATATATTATTATTAAATTTCATAATGTATTCGGCCCGAGTGGGATCGGAAAGTCCAAAGTCGCGAGATACAAAAAGGATTTTCTCAATTGCCCGGGCAATTTTCTGGTCGTCGTCGTCGTTGCGTCAGTTACTCCTCTGCAGCGCGCAGGCATTTTTACACAAGCGGCCAACAATTAGGCCCCCCCTTCCGATTATATTATGTTATACGTATTTACACGAGTCGAGACACGCCACTTCGGGTTTTTTTCCTGTCGATTTTCGGGCCCCGCGTGCGCGCGAGAAATTTCGAGATCGTTACCTCGACAGCGGCAATAGCAGCAACAGCAGCAGCAGCAGCGGTGCTTTGTGTTTGGTCGGAGATCTTTTATAATGGCTGCAAAAGATTCCATCGGTATGCCACGGAGATGATCTTGGTTCTCTCTCTTTCTCGCTCGCTCTTTGGCTCTTTGGAGTTCCGCATATAATGATATCTGTTTAGACGCGGTATTATAACAAGACTCCTTTTGTATACGTATAAGATGTGGTCGCTCGCACGTAGACACATTTGGAGAGTTGGAAAAAAAAATGCAAAACCCGAATTGCGAGCGTGTAAAATACGTAATTATACGTACACGAGATTAGGACCGTGATACGAGCAGGTTATTGATTTTTGTTTTATTTTATGAACCAAAAGTCAATATTTAATAAGAGTCTCGAGTAAAAATCTTTAATAAAAGTTTTAACAAAGCAATAGTAACAGACAAGTCTTTCTGATCTTTGATGTGCTCCAGATGCACTGTTGCATGCCTCGTATATGGTTGATTCTCCTGAAATCTGCTTTTTGCATGTCTTTATGCCATATTCTTAAACTAGTGAAGATGAGCCAAAACTGGCTCGGTCATTCATTCAATATTGTTGTATTCTTCATGATAGGACATAAATATTTCAATTTTTTAGGGTCAGTTAAATTTGCCGTGAAGATATACATGCCAAATGTCACCTCCGTGGCATGTCTACATCTCAAAATCAACTCTATTTGCATGTACCATGCATTCTCATTAGCACCTGACCCTATAATAACTATGAGACCAGCTTCTATACATCCAGAGTAAAGTTTAAGTCTATTATAGGGCTTTGAAAAATGTTTTAAAAAAATTTCCCACGCAATTGAAAAATGTCTCGGATTTTAATCATGCTTCTGAATAATTTCAAACATACCGCCTGCTTTGGGTCGCTAACTCATTTTTGATGTCGCTAGATACGTAAATGTCAAGTATTATAGCCCAGCTTTCGATTGGTGTAGGTTGCGGGTTCAAATTTTACATTTTATCGATGCTGCGATAATTATTCTATTGAAAAATTCACGTGTGTCAAAAAAACGGTCACCTCCGTGGACATGAATATCTCGAGCTATGATCATTCTTTTTAACCGCTCGCCCCGTCAAAAGACTCGTTTTTCATGACCAAATTTCGGGTTGTGCGGAAAATTTTGTGCGTTTCTTATTTTTCTTACATAGTTGATCAAAGCAGCGATTTGTCACCTCCGTGTGTGTCACCTCCGTAACCGAAAATAGTCGATTTTAAGCATAAAATCGGACATAGTTTTCGTAAAACGAAATCTCAAAGCCCCAGATTCAATAATTATTCATATTTTATGGTTTAAAAAAGGGTAAACTAGTTCGCGCCGTTCAATATGACAAAAAAATTTTCACCATTTTTTCGTTTTCCATACCCGAAAAAGCAGATTTCGGGAGAATCAACCATATACTGACAATCTTCAATTGGTTCAATTGAAGCGTATCAAGCGCAGCAACAAATCATTTCTCTTTCTTATATTGTCTTTTTAAGCATAAATATCCACTAGTCATCGCGAGAAAGCATACCGCGAATGAATAGAAACAACATACAATGTGTATCGTACATAGCAATTGACGCAATTCGTATACTAAACATGCACGAGTGTGTGTCGAAGGCGCGACGACGTTTTACAAACCGTTATCGATTTAGCTCGCTCGTTAAAAGCTCTCTCGGCTTTTTGATTATATACTGCTTCGCACGTGCAGAAAGAGAGAGAGAGAGAGAGAGAAAAAGAGTTGACTTTTTTGTACACTCACTCGGCTCGCCCGACTTATAGTTTGACATTCGCGAATTTTTCATCAACTCGCGACTGCTTATTTATTATTCGCGGTTTGACAGAGGTCAAAAAAATGTATCTCAATTAACTCGATCTTTAACGAGCTAGGGAGAGAGACAGAATAAAAAAAAAAAAAAAAAAAACAAGTCACACGAGCTTTGAACGCAATTAAAGGTCTGTATTTGCAAGTCGCGCGACGCTCGGATAATGACGTTTTCTCGATTTTTCGGTAAATATAAGCGTTCACCGCGATGCGGGAAATTGAAAACTATATACCTATGTCACGTATATAGTTTTCTTCGCATTGCCGCGCGTGTTATAGAATCAACGTCGTCATCCGCAACGCGATATCGTGGCTCTCGTCTTTTTTTGCGTCGTTATCGAGGTAACGAGATACCTGCAGCATGGCGGCAACAGAAATTTTGTTTTTCAACGAAACCGAAAAAAAATGTCTAAAGAGAATATAAAAAATTAAATGAAAATGAAAAAAGGCAAGAAAAGTCTCGAAAACGAACCGGTGTATACCCGCGCGTACTACATACGTAGTATATCGTTTACCTGTTGCTTCCGCGTGCGATCGTGACACACCTGTACGCGCATGACTTTTGCCTATCCTATACTTATATGTATAGGTATATGATACACCTGCAGGCAAATCGCAGCTCTTGGCAAAGTTCGTTCGAACGATGATACAGATACACCGAGAGAGAAAAATACTAATTTGGTTCGATCTATCGGTGTGTTTTAATCGAATCGATTAATGTTTGATTAAACTAAACCACTGATTCAATTAAATCACTAATAAATTGGTGAAAATCGACACACCAGAATGAGAGCAATAATTTGATTTAATTCATTTAAACATGTTTCGTAGAATCAATTACATATTTAGTTGAACGAACTGAACATTTCAACAAATCACGAATAACCAGTCAATTTAAATGAACGTTAGTTTATTCGATTAAATATTTATAATTTATTCAATAAAACGACGGAAGCGGATTGAAAGCAAATATTTGTCTCTGCGGCAATGAGCTATAAACTACGACGTCAACGTTGTTTTGCATCCGTAATAACGAATCCTTTTTTTTTTTCATCCAGGGAGTGAAGAAACCCTTCAAAGAGGTCATCAAGGCCAATATCGGCGACGCCCACGCGATGGGCCAAAAACCCATCACGTTTCTGCGACAAGTCCTCGTATTGGCGCTCAATCCGCAACTACTCGAAGATCCTAGGTGAGTCCGCTGCAGGCGCGCAAACTTTTTCGCTCTATCGACCGGATGTGTGTTCGGTCTGCGCTGCGTCGTTGCGCAACACTGCATTTATGCAACGTTCGTTTACACTCGTCTCTGTTTTCATCCTCAGCTATCCCGAGGACGCGAAAGACCGCGCGCGAGCCATCCTGGGCGGCTGCAAGGGCTGCAGCATCGGCTCGTACACCGAGTCCGCGGGCATCGACGTGGTGCGCCGTCACGCGGCCAAGTACATCGAGGAGCGCGACGGCGGCATCCCCTCCCACCACCAGAACATCATCCTGTCGAACGGCGCCTCGGACGGCATCAAGGCCTTCCTCAAGCTCTTCAACGGGCGCCTCAACGGCAAGCCCACCGGCGTGATGATCCCCATCCCGCAGTATCCCCTCTACTCGGCGACCATCTCCGAGTTCGGCCTGCAGCAGTGCGGCTACTACCTCGACGAGGACAACAAGTGGGGCCTCGACGTGGACGAGCTCGAGCGAGCCTACCAGGCGGCCAAAGCTAATAGCAATCCGCGCGTCTTGGTGGTCATCAATCCGGGCAATCCCACCGGTCAGGTGTTGACCCGTGAGAACATCGAGAACATCGTGCGATTCGCCCACAAGAACAAGCTGTTCCTGCTGGCCGACGAGGTCTATCAGGACAACGTCTACGACAAGGACTCGGCCTTCTACTCGTTCAAGCGAGTGATGACCGAGATGGGCGAGCCCTACTGTCACATGGAGCTGGCCTCGTTCATGTCCATCTCCAAGGGTTACATGGGCGAGTGCGGCCTGCGCGGAGGCTACGCCGAGATCATCAACATGGACCCCAAGGTCATGGCGATACTGATGAAGTCGATCTCCGCCACTCTGTGCCCGACCGCCGTGGGCCAGGCCGCCATGGACGTCGTGGTGAATCCGCCGCGACAGGGCGAGCCCTCGTACGAGACGTTCCTGAGCGAGAAAAAGTCCATACTGAGCTCGTTGGCCGAGAGATCGAGACTCGTCGTCGACACGCTCAACTCCATACCCGGATACAAAGTGAGTACTTGCCACGATGGACAAAATTTTATTTTATAAAAAGAGTCAAAATAGAATATTGAATCGTAAAAATGTGTCAAATTACGAACGATATCAGACAGCCAAGACATTTATAAACATGGTATTACATTAACGATGGTGTTATGACGTGTTTTTTCAAGTGCAAAATTGATTTACACTTTGTTACACATTGTTTTATGGATATTGAATTTGAATTTATATTTCATTTATTCAAAGTAGAATTGTAAAAGAGATATTAATTCATAAAATTTATTCATTTCTCTAAGGTATAAAACTTGATGAAACGTAATGAAACATAATAAAGTCAAAATGATCTATTCGAAATCGTTAGTAATTTTACGTTTTCTTACATTATTATGTATTTTATCTGAAATTGTTTTCCCCTGGGGATGCTAATTCGTTTTTGTTGTTAATCTAAACAGGTGAATCCAGCCATGGGCGCGATGTACGTTTTTCCGCGAGTCGAGATGCCGGAAAAGGCGATCAAGGCCGCGAAAGCCGCGGGCCAGACACCGGACACGTTTTACGCGTTCCAGCTGCTCGAGGCCACGGGCATCTGCGTGATACCCGGCTCGGGCTTCAGTCAGAAGCCCAACACTTATCACTTCAGAACGACGATATTGCCGCAAAAGGAGAAGCTCAAGTCCATGCTGAGCATCCTCAAGGAGTTTCATCTCAAGTTCCTCAAGGAGTACAGTTAAGCGTAGAAAAAAAAACGAGCCCATCTTTTGTACAGGATGTTCGGTGCTAAACTGTATATTTGATTATTAATTATGTAAAAAAAGACGTTCGTACGGAATCGATCTAGAAAGTTTTTATGCTTAAGTTATAACGAAAGAATAATGTTTCGAGGCTAGGAAAGAAATTGTTAGGATTTATTTTCTTACTATATATTAATTTTCCGCATCGACGTTACCCCATCCCCTCCTGTTGTACGACGCTTCAGACAAAAGAAGGAATTTTGTAAATAAAGCGAAAGAAGAAAAAAAAAACAATTAACGATAACAATTGCTGTAATAGAGCAAAGTAATTAAGAATGTGTTAAGTAACAGAATATGTTCCATATACTTTTTTGAGACTTTAATATAAACAATATGTATAATCTAAAAATGCTTGAATGTCTAGATATAAATAAAACAAAAATAATCCGACAAAAAAGGATTCATTTTTAATAAAAAAAAAGAAAAAAAACAGAATTTTCAAGCTTTGTGATTGAGAATTTATATACAAACCACCGTGATAGAACTGCTTTTTGACAGTTTTTTCTCTTTATTATTACGATTATTATAATTATATTCTTTAAATAATAACAGGTGCTTACACAATAAATGAAATAAATTGGTATACCATGCGCCAGAGGCTTTGATTGTTTTTTGACGAGAGTTTTTATGCATATCCAACATCTATTAAACACAATGAATGTATTTAATTGTTTACGACTTGCGAAATTTTATGCGACAGAATGGCCAATTTTATGGCTTTGGAATATGCAAATATTGATAAAAAGTATACTATAACAATTACCTTGATGAATATCAAAAGTTAGTGATATAATTATTATTATTAAAGTTTTGCTCATTATTGATAAATGACGATATTGAACGAAACAATGCGAGAATTGAGCCACCGAGACTAAAGTGCTCGAGTGGAATGGAAAGAATGACGAATGCAGCGGTATTAGATAGTTAAAGAAAAGAAAAAAGGCGTGTAAAAATAATGAAACACAGCAGCGCGTTGCACCCTACGGAGTAATATGAAATATTCAACTAATTAGGTGTTATCAACGTAAAACGAAATAAAAATAATGGTGTCGTGCCTCGATAAACGTTGCTGTATGTACACGTTGCGGTGAAGCGTACGTTACATAGCACAAAATTTCAAGAACAAAAATTTTTTCTTTTCTTTGTTTCTCGCGCGCGTAATTCGCGAGACTTTGTGTTGATTGTAATTCGAATTGTAAGCAAGCCAGAACAATTACAATAATAAAAATTATATGTTCTTTTTTTTCTCATAGCTCTTGGCTCTGTTGTATTTTTTAATTAAAAAATAAATAATAATTAAAAATCAATCATTGGTACACACTGTACTTGTTCATTGTCAATAATTTATAGTTTATTGCTTCTTAGTTCTATATACATCTTTTTTTTTTTTGCTTACTCGCCAGCATATCGTGGCTTCTCGAGACTATACAAACTAATAAAAAATTTTATAAAGCTAATACTTTCAGCAAACATTGAATTCGCTTGACTAATTTTTTATTTTACATGAGAATTACTACGATCGTCGTGTCATTTATTTATTATTATAGTCATTATCGTCATTGTTCAAAGGTCTTTCGATAATCGCTCGATCTCTTCCACGATGAAGAGCATATCGTCCTCGGTTAGGCCGGAGTTCTGCAGTACCAGCCGGAAGAAGTTGGCCTGACCCCTGATCGGTTGATACGTTATCAACATGGAGCCTTCTTTGACCATGCGACTCTTGACGATCGGTGCAATTTTGTGAAGAGCTGCCGAGAGCTCCTCACCCTCGAGATGTCTTTTCGACTCTGGGATATATCTGTTGGAAGAGAAAAGAAATAGAAATGAATAAAAATTCATATTGTTCCGAGGAAACTGCATAGAGAAGGTATCGGTATCGTATAAATTACCTGAAGCAAACGTTGGTACACTCGGGCTCCAGAAGCAGCTGCCATCCGGGCCTGTGCCTGATCAGATCGGTAAAGTATCTGGACAGCTCGAAGAGCCGATCGATGTGACGCTCCAGACCGTCGGTGCCCTTGGCCTTCCACATCGTCCAGAATTTCAGGACATCGGCCCTACGTCCGCACTGGACGTGTTTGTCTCCGAAATCGTAGCTCGTGTCGTAGAACTTGTCCGGCTGGAAGAGATAGGCGGCCTTGGACGCGTGGGCCGATTCCAGCAGACCCTGGTGACGAGTCAGGAGGGTCGAGCACTGCTGGGGCGCCGCCAGCAGCTTGTGCGGATTCCAGGTGCAGCTGTCGGCCAGCTCGACGCCGTCCAGCAGGTGTCTGTGAGCGCGGGACATGAGAGCGCCACCGCCCCAGGCCGCGTCCACGTGAAGCCAGATCTTGTACTCCTGGCAGACGGCGGCGATCTCGCGCAGAGGATCGAAGGCGCCGATGACGGTGGTGCCGGCCGTCGCCGAGACCAGGAGGGGTCGGGCTCCTTCGCCGATGGCTCGCTCGATCTGGGCGCGAAGATCGTCGACGCGCATCTTGCCGGCCTCGTCGACTTTGACGCTGTATACGTTGGCTGTTGGCGAAAAGATATAGATACGTGAGACATTTGTTTCAAATTCATTATAATATCTTCGTGCTTCAATTTGAAATTTTACTCGAACTAGTTAAGATCTTTAAATAAAATTTAATTGTTTAATTTTTTTACTTTCTTCATTGACTTACTAATAAAATTTAAATTAAAATAAAACAATTGTGAAAATCTTTTAATTCCTTTTTTCATTTAATAATTAGGATCTGAACCATTAGATTTAATTTTAGATAAAATAAAATGTAAACTAGAAAAAAACTTCACTTTTAAACTCTTTCAATTGCTTTGTTCTTTTTTTATCAATCATTTCGATCGCCGAACTTTCTAATTTTTCATTGTACTCACAGGCTCCCATGCCGAGGAAAGCCGTGAGCTTTTTCACGGAGTAGTGGGCGTCCTCCGAGGTAAAAACGACGAGTCTGGGCAACGCGCTCAATCCCTGCTCTTTGATCTCGGGATAGGCGTGATGCCGGGCGATGTTGATGGCGTAGCCGTTGGCCATCGAGCCGCCCGGGCAGAAGATGCCGTCGCCCCGGCCGGCGTCGGGCCAGCCGAGGATCTGTCGCATCTCGCGCAGCACCACCTCCTCCATGAGCGAGAACACGGGCGACACCTCGTACGTGTAGACCGACGGATTGAGGGCGTCGGTGAGCCACTGGCCGACGAGGCCGTACGGATCCACCGACGAGTAGAGCTGATTGACGAAGCGAGGATGGCCCGTCTTGACGCTGTAGCGCGTGACGAGGTGCAGCAGCTCCAGGAGCTTCGTGTGCGACTCGCCGTGCTGGCGCAGCGCGAGGTCGATCTTCTTCGGGAGCTCCTCGGGGTCGGTCCACTCGACCACTTTGTTGTCGCGAGACGTGCCCTGCGGGGGGGGGGGGAAGAGAGAATCGAGCAAAATTCGATTAAACAAATGTATAATTCGTGATATTCTTCTTTTTTTTTTTTTGCCTCTACGATAGAGGATGTAATTACGTTTGGAAATCGTATTATGAAACGATCGATCTAATTATTCCTCGATGCGTAAATATTGTAATATACGTAGCCAAGGCCGAGATTCTTTTTTCCTTCAATTCTCTCTTTCTCTCTCTCCGAACAATCATAAGTTAATAATACGATTACTCAAGAAACTACCGAGCGAGAGAGCACTTAGCTTTTTCTATTATTTTTCTCGGTCAAGGCTATACTATGAAGCTATTACAATGTTGTATCATAAAAGAAACAATAACAACAATGAACTCACCCCAAGCACTGCCTCCTTGAGTATCAGCTCCATGGCATCCCTGATGAATTTTTCGTGGATCGCGGGCTGTATGAGAGTGCTGTAGCGCATCTCGGGCCAGTCCTCGCCGTGGCCGCTGTCCATGTCGGATGAGCAATCGCTGCTGTCTTGGTCCTCGGTATAAAGGGACTTGTCGTCGGTCTCGTAGCCGAACGATGATTGGCTCGAGTTCTTGGTCAGTTCCATTTTCTCACTGACGATCGACGATGGCGTAATAGTAGTCGTAGTGGTCGAACCCTCGATTTGTAGAGTTTCCGGCATGTTGATGCGTGTGTGTGTGTATTTGTGTATATTTGTGTGTGTGCGCGAACGCGACGTAATTTAAAATTAATTTGAAAATTGAAAAAAAAAACTAATAATACCGAACACTCGCGTTTGGGTATCGAGTTTCGCCGGGGGGGAAGATCGGCTCGGCTCTACCTGTCACAATAAACCGGCGCGTATCACCGTTAAAGTGCGTCTGGACGCGTTTGAAGTGCGGACGGCTTCATTTATAACGAATCGCAGCCGACCACGCGCCGCGCGCCGCGCATGTACAATTTACGTTATATATATCGGAGATCTATAAGCGCGCGCGCGCAGCAGCAGCAGCAACAGATACAACGAGGCACGCATATCTCGAGCTAACTACCGTAGCTTCGCTCGTGTAGTATCTGTGGTATGTCTGTGTACATACTTAATAATATTATAAAACAGAACGAAGGACGTGGTTTAACCGAAGATAATTTCTGTTGTATGTAATGTACGGTATGACGATCGCCGCGTATCGAAACGAAACAACACACGTGTGCGGGGGGACTTGGGAATCTGATAATGGTTTTTTTCTGCTACTGCGCTCTTTTCTTTTTTTTTTTCAACAAAAAAGTCGGACACGATTCTACCCATATTGCGAAATAGCACGAGAGCAACAACCGATCCGCTCTTATATACGTATACATAATAAATCGTTAATGACGTCTTTAACGCGTCGATGAATTTTTCATTATATTAAACGATCCCGTAATATATAAAATAAAGAAGAGGAGAACAAAAAATAAAAAAACCGGGAGAATAATGTGTTTGTGTAATCGACGCGCCGCGACACGAGCACCGCGTCTCGAATATATCGATCGTTAATAAACTCGACATTTTTTTTATCTATCGCGCGTATGATACAATGTTATGAGGCGTAATTATTCGATCGGTCCTCGACACGAATCTACGCGGAGTCTTTTAGGACGAACGAATTATGTGTATATGTGTGTGCGCTATGGAAATGATCTTTTCTAGCCGCATTCATAGGCATAGCATAATGATTGGCCGAGAGAAAATTGCCGGTATTTAATTTCTTTTTCTCTCTCTCTTGATGATCCATTCCCCATCCATCCATCCTTTCGTCGTCGTCCTTGATTTTATAGGCAAATACAAGATGCCGATCCAACTCGAATATACTAATGTGCAGCACACGATGTGACGTCGTCATCTCTTCGTTGCTTCGTTGGAGTCGCTGCGACGACGTAGCGTCTCGAGCTCGTTCTCGAACCCACCTCGTGCGCGTGGAGTGCCCCCCATGTGGCGGTCGCGTGTTCATGAAAAATGACAAAGAAGAATCACGCATTAATGATCTGACACACGATGGGTTTTACTTTCGTTTTCGTGTGTGTCTGTCTGCGCTCGTGGCTGACTTTATATACGTATATATGTTTATTGTAATTTATGATGCAATGAGGCGGTTATCGAGAGCGTCGAATGCGGCGCGTGATCGGCTATGATTTCTTTTTTTTTTTCTTCATTATTTTCATTTTATATAAAACGGTTTACCTCTGCGTCTGTCTTTTTTAAATAATATAGTTTGATTGATGCCTCTCGCGTAATTGGCCTAAATATTACGAAGAAGCCGGCGAGAGAGATAACAAAGTTTATAAGAGTCGACGACGCTGACGCGTAATACAAGTGCGTGCACATGTCGCTTACATGCGTGCTCCGGTCGCACCGTCGCGTACCGGGAAAAAATTGAAAAAAAAAATTGAAGAAGAAAGAAATTGTATATCTTGTATGTTCAAATTTTCGATCCATATCCTACCTTCTTTACCTGAAAACGTATCTATTTCTCGGTAATCGAACTGGCGCATGAGTAATTTTGCTTCGCGCAAAAGTGCTGATTAAATATAAGTTTCTTTTTTATTAATCTTAATTCAACAGGTTGTCGAGCACGTCATGTGCCACCTCTAATATGTATGCAGCAATATCAAGTTTACTCGGCGTGGGCTTGCATAATTGTGTAATATAAAATAAAATCGCTTCTCAAATTCGGAAAAATATTCGATTTCGAGCGGCGCAGTTTTATTTTAACCCGAGGGAGGAGACGGGTCGACCTTGAAATTATTGCACATTGTTATAGAGAGAGAGAGAGAGAGAGAGAGAGACGAGTTCCTGTGGGGGGCCGCCATCCATCGCATCAGAAAACGAAACATTTCTTCTCGATTTAGGATTTGTCCAGTTTAATTTTGCTTGCTTTGGATATCTATATCGCTGAGCACTTGACTTTGTTCAAGAAATAAAAGTTTCAAATAATTTATTTGCATAGTTTATCAATCAGTCAAAATTAAAGCAATCAAAAGATTAAATAAATAATAAACTACATTATAAATCAAATAAGATTAACTTGAACGAATAATAGTTGAAATTTAGTAAATATTAGGTATTAATCATCAGGTACTGAGTAAAAAAACTACATCATTGTCATTTATGATTGGTGTAAGTATATATTTCAAAAACTATATTAACACTTAATAGTAATAATTTTTTTTCAATTACCTTGTCATAATTCACGAATTAAGTTTATAACTTTTTGGTTTCAACAATTCAATATCATATATTTTAACAATTTCATAAAAGTATCAAATTTTAAATGTACAAAAGCTTTTTTTATAAAACTGCACATAACTTACACATATAAATTCTATTGGACTTATTTAAATATATTTTGATTAAAAGTTGTAAGTTTGATTAATTAAAAAAAAGTTATATTTGATCATAGCTAATACCAAAACACTTACGTTCTATATATTGATGTTTATCACAAATTGAGTAGAAAAGCAATATTAACAGTTTTAACAGATATTAAAAATATTCAGATATAGTTATATTCTTTGAAAATGTTCAAATTTCACTTGAAGATTGAAGAGTCTATAAATTACACTGTTTGAATAACTTTTGTCCACTTTGGATTGCCAGCTAAGTGAAACTGTTCAACAATCATTCACATTTTAATATTTATAGTGAATACTTATATTATATAATTTTACTTAAATATGTAATAAATAAGAGTTTGCTTGCTCAAAATTCTATACCTTAATTGATCAATAAGAATCCTGCCTAAACATCAAAAACGCACAGATATAACAAAGTAAAGAAAATTTAATATCTTCATAGAATTTAATTTAGAAAAATTAAATGTATTAAAGCCAGGCACTAATGCAAATTTATAAATATTTGCCACTATAAATTCTGACATGATGCATTCAAGATTGAAATTTTGGAATTTTTCAATATTTCATCAACTAGATAGTTCTTTTACATGTATCAGCCAAAGTAAGCACCACAATTAGAACATCGCCTGTTTTTCAGCAACAAACAACAAAGAATACCTAGCGGAAAGAAGAATATAGCACAAAAAATTCCTAAACAGGGATAATCATCTTCTAATACGCCGATCTGAAATAAGACATTGTTTTGCTTAATTCTGACAAATTGAAGTGACTGATAAAAACTAATTAAAGGTACAAACTCGACACGCTGGACATGCACCAACTAGAATGATTTCAGGAACGATTATTGTTGTAGTGTTTTGTGTGGTTCCATAACTGCTAGGTGTATAAGCTTGTTGATATGAGGTTTCTGAGGAAGGAAAATACCCTGGAGGTGGTTGCCAAGATGAAGATGCTAAAAGTGTTTCAAATTCAATATTTTATTATATTTATAAAGATATCTAACTTGTTTCTTCAAACTAACTGAGCTTAATTAGCAGTAATGACCTATTTCAAATTGGAATTAACAAATATTTTGAAAGAATTTGACTTTAAATGTAATAATAGTAAAACTACACAATAAATTAACTGGAAATAACATCACCAAATGCTTTAACTATAAATCATTTATCTATTACTTAAACTTTATTTTCAAAATGCATAACAATTGAATCAATAGATAATGATTTCAACAGATGACAGTAGACAGTCAAATGACAATCTTCAAAATAATCAACAATAGCTGAAGTTCAAGAATTTAACCTAAAAAATTTGCAGTTCGCAAATGCAACTCACCTTGGGTAGTGGGTGTGGGTGTGTAAGGTGGTGGTTTGTCTGTTCTCTCTTGGAGCAGTGGACTTTTATCGTTGTCCATATTATGCTTTTTCGTTACAAAAAGCGGGACAAATCAACTAAATTTTCTCGCAAAATAATAAACGCTGCGGAACGTATGCGACGCAGTTTTGCTCACAAACACAGCTGATTCGCGGTCGCTTAGTCATATCATAGGAGCGAAGCGAGAAGTCTTGCAAGTGCAGTTCAATTGTGTGTATATGTGTTAGATGCAGCCACTGAGAGGAGTAGTAGGGGGCAATATCGGTGAGCTGCCGAGCTAAGAAGTGTCAAGACTCAAGCGGCAACAAGCCTGTGAAGAAATGAAAAACATGGATAAGGAGCCAAGCAAAATTTTCGTTGCAATATGCATGAGTTCAGTGAGTAAATTATTAGCTCGCGTCTATCGTACAAAAGGTGTGTTTGGGTTACTGAAAAAAGACGATCGTAAAAAGTCTTATAAGATTTTCTCTAGTGTAACTAATTTACAAGTTGATAATGGATAAATGTCAATTACGAAAACCCGAAGTGGATATTGTTTTAATTTTCAGGTACTTCTTTTCGTTATAATATTTTTTTCGTATGCTAGCTATTAAGGTTTATGGAATTAGTTTCGTATGAACAAATTAAGAAGGTAAGGTTATTTTCTTTCTGGAGTAACAAATAACTAACGTCAACCCCGGTACAACAGCAAAGGCAAAAATATCCCAATGATTAAAGAGTGAATCGCGACTGTGCCCAAGAAATTTTAAAAGCTATCTATCGGTTGTCATCGCAATTCGCACTTTTGGATGAATTCGCGCTCCTGATCTAACAATCGAAAATATTTGAAAATGTCACAATCAATTTAAGACTCATCTAAAATCATTAGGTTATTTATTGCCACTCGAATATGCAAATATAAAAACCTGCAATTGTTCCCTTCTATATCTCAATTGCCATGAAATAAAATATTTTCTTGTTTTACAAGCTAAGCTATCGTTTGTGGCTTCAATTTTTCTCTCATTTTAGGAATATAATTCATTATATGTGCCGCGATCCTATATCTTGTCCCTATGCATTGAGTACATAACGATACTCATTTTATAAAAATTAAGCAAACAACAAGAACCCATTTAGTTTCATGGACCAATTAAAAATACCGGAAAAACATATCACAGATTTTTGTATCAATATTCTTATGTAGAAGTACAAAGATGAATTCATATAGTTACAAAAACGTTGAGATATAATTTCATTTCAAATATGCTCATTTAAAATTTTAACCAATGACTTTTTAAGCTCGAAGTCAAATTTTAAATCTGCTTTGTTTATTTAAGATATGCTTGAAGGAAAATACCTAACATTTTTGGAGCAGTCAGAACACAATGAGTTATCATTATCGTAGAAATACGGAAAAATTTTCATGTTGCTATCGACTAAGTAAACGCAGTAATCATCCACATAGAAGAATCATAGATTAAATTGTAGATGAAACGATTTTAATTCGAAGATATTTATTATTTTTATTTTAATTGATTTATGCGCATCTAGAACATTCCCTAAATAATGATTTAACACATTATCGCTTTACTATTTACTTATTTGTAAACTATCTTAGATCACTAATTCGTTCTTATTTTAGAAGAAGCTTCGAGACTTAGATTGAATTCGACTTTCGTAAAGAGAGTCTTCCAAAACGACATCTAATCTTACGAACTAAGATATAGAATTTTCTACTGATTTCTATAAGTCTCGTGGTAGCCTGTACCTTACAACTATTGAGTTACTTGTATTATTAGCTTCACTAGTTTTTCAAACTTTTGAAACTACACGTAAAGTTTTTATGAATCAACGGCAGTAACTTTACTCCGTAACTGATTACTGATTAGACTGTTTAAGTATTCGATTTAATCCAATACTGTAAATTAAATTAGTAAAACGATATTTAACTTATTTCAAGGGTCAACTGAACTTTCAACTCAAAATGGATGACTTAAAATGACATTTTGTATGGGAATAACTACTTCGATGTATGTCTAAGAATATAATTTCAACGACTTAGATTTAATAAATTGAAATCAGACCTTTATAGATCAGAATATACATTATTGTAAAATTAAAAATCTTAATTTATACAATTACAGTTAAATGTGATTGGAATTTTTATATTTATAATGATTATTTTTATTAGATTTGTCTATTTTAGGGGAAAATTTGTCCACAAAATTGTTCTTTTTCGTACATGAAACTCTAGATAGTTCTAGAAATTTCTAGAAAATTTTCATTCGCGAAATTCTAAAATCTCTAGAAATTCGTACGCCTACTTTCCTTCGAATACGCATTTCGTGTTTTAATGGTAAATCCGAAAAGATACATTTCATTGATTCAACCAGAACTTATAAATCATCTTTGAAATATTTGGTTAAGAGCTTTCCACCGCTATTAATGACTTTTATTCCTATAGATAAATCACTTTTTTATTTTATTAACTTATCTATTACTTATGGTTTGAATTTTTTATTAATTTATAAATATAATTGACCAATAAGTGCAGTATAAATAAGCTCATATTCAATCTATCCTCTAAATATTTAATTCATGATTACTTTCATTACTGTCGCTATATTGAGCATATCATCTATGCTCATCTAAGACGTCCAATTTCATAGCTTTATTTGTTTTATGTAAATATACCTGATTGTTTAATTATAAATGATGCATGAGCTCATAAAAGTTATTTAACTAAAATGTCACATTAGTTTTTCATTTCAAACGTAGTAGTAACGTATAAACCTACAAATCGTGATTTTATTACGATTTAGTTGAATAAATTAATTTTTTTTTTTTTTTAAGTTTGTTACCAATAAAGTAGGATTCATTTGAAGTTAATTACAATCTACTTATGACTGGCTATTTGTGATCTTCAGACATCAGGTCCCTTTGGCGCAGAGGATAGCGCGTTGGACTTCTAATCCAAAGGTCGTGGGTTCGATCCCCACAAGGGATGTAATTCTTTTTTGAAATTTTAGAAAACGAAAACGGTACCGTCTATAATTAACTTAATGATCAGTTTTTTAAATGACTTTACTTAATAAAAATTACGTCATAGCGTTATAATTCCTTCTAAAGTATTTCCTAACACTTATGAAAATAATTTTTTTATAATTTCTTTGTAAATAAAAATTGAATAATTTAATACAAGAACTTATATTTTGAACAAATAATAATAATAAAGTTTAATAAATGGTCTAGTACAATTTAATGTATCATAATCAATAATCGAAGATTGTACTAATTGCCCATGGGTTGTATAAATCGTTTGAAATATACTTATTGTTTCGCTGTGATGACACAGCAATAACATTAAATTTTATATATCTTTATGCAATAGTATAACGAAAAATGTCTTTTTTCGCACATTTTTTAGTGCGCAAAAAGCGTTTTTGGGCACTAGTATACGGTAAAAATCCTCATTTTGACACTGGTGTGCGGTAAAATGCCTCATTTTGGACACTGGTGTGCGGTAAAATGACTCATTTAATTGAAAGTATTTTTCGCCTACTATTGCATAATAGTTATTTATGTAACAAGTGCCCAAAAGGCGTTTTTAGGCACGAGTGTGCGGAAAAAGACACGAGTGCCGGCTATGCGCACTAAAAAATGTGCGAAAAAAGACATTTTTCGTCATACTATTGCATAAAATTTTGTATGCAACACGTGCCCAGCTTTTTGCGCACAGTGTGCAGAAAAATCGCCCACTCGTGCCGGCATAGCCAGCACTCGTGTTTTTTCCGCACACTCATGCCCAAAAACGCCTTTCGGGCACTTGTTACATAAATAACTATTTTCGCGTCGCACAAATATGCTCTCAGGCTCGCTTTAATTTTTCATATGGCATACGTAACTAACTTATATGAACCAATATTTAAGGTTTCGCCATCGTCGTGAAATTTACGTCTAGAATCTAGCATACCTTTGCTTATATATCAACCGAAATCAAATTTCATCGTTTGGGGGTTAGCGATGCGACATCTAGAGTTAGTGAGCTACAATTTATTGATTAAGACATTGCCGAACTCAACGAGTGCATACGCTTCCTTACGTTGCAGTGTTTAGTTTTACTAGTATATTCACTTTTTTGAGAGGATCAATCGAACCGAAATATACCTAGTATAATGAGCATCATGAGTTTTCAATACCTAATTTTTTTATCGATAAATACTTCATACTATTCAGTATCAAATAGAAAAAGAGAATGTTTCCTTTGACTCGAAACTTTCGTACTGTAGGAGTTGTCTCGAATTTCAATAGTATATGGTAATTAAGAGGCGGAGCCTAATATAACAGAAATATGGATCTTACTTTCACTTGTTTCTTCCCGAAAAAACTAAGAGATTTTACACCTCAGCCTAAATGCAACCTCAAGTTTTGAATAGAAATACGTCTGACATTTGTAATTTCATTACTCTAGTTTTTTAGGGGTTTGAAAAAACATATTATCTTGAGTTGAGACCTATAACAATATATTAGATACATTTATCACAGCGCCATTTATTTCAATAACTTAAAACTGCCTGTACCATTTCACTCATCGCTTTTTCAAATATAAAGAATTAAATATGAAAGTGATTCACGAAGATCATTGTACTTTACTTATAAAAAACGCTTTATAATTATAGTTAGCATTGAATAGTTTCATACATGCTTAGGAGTTTTGATTATTTTGAAATATCGGCCATTCATGTAAATTTTGATGCGTTTATTCTCGATTTATATCAAGTAATAATAACTACAGAATGTAAAATATGTTTTATTTAAAAATATTACTATGCTAAAATTATAAATAGCTCATAATTTTTAATTTTGACGGTTTATTTGTAATAGTTCAGGAGAAAGTTTTATTTGAAGAACTTGAAAAAGTAATACAAAAATAATAAATCGGATACCCATTAATTTGATTTATACACAGAGCAAAATATATCTTAATGATTAAAGAGTGAATCGCGACTGTGCCCAAGAAATTTTAAAAGCTATCTATCGGTTTTCATCGCAATTCGCACTTTTGGATGTATTCGCGCTCCTGATAAAACAATCGAAAAATATTTGAAAATGTCACAATCAATTTAAGACTCATCTAAAATCATTAGGTTATTTATTGCCACTCGAATATGCAAATATAAAAACCTGCAATTGTTCCCTTCTATATCTCAATTGCCATGAAATAAAATATTTTTTTGTTTTACAAGCTAAGCTATCGATCATGGTTTCAATTTTTCATTCAGTTAATATTACTATAATATTTTACTAATATATGTGCCGCGATCTTATATG